CGGGTATTCTCGTATTTGTTGACAGATTCAGCAAAATGGTACACCTTGTGGCTGTACCAGAGACAATCACGGCAAGTGGCTGTGCTTGTGTCTTTATTGACACCATCTTCCGACTTCATGGGTTGCCCCGTGAACTCGTATCAGACAGAGATCCACGATTCACTGCTGATTTCTGGCGTTCCGTGTTCAAATCACTCGGAACGCGCTTGAAGATGTCAACATCTGATCATCCAGAGTCAGATGGTCAGACGGAACGTGCCAATCGTGTCCTTGAAGAGATACTTCGAGGATACGTACACTCCTTTAAGAGTTGGAGTGAGTTTTTGCCGATGGTAGAGTTTGCCATCAACAACTCGGTGCATGCGTCCACGACACATACACCGTTTTACGTGAATGGCTTGCGCCATCCGCGTGTACCCACCTTACTAGAGTGTAACTCTGGTTTAAGGGGGGAGGGACTCGCGCGAGCAAAAACCGAATTGGTTCACGCTCATCACGCTCTGACGAAGAAGTCATTGCGTTTGATGCCGATATCGATAACATCGATATCGAAGAAGATGATGCCAGTGAGAGTGCGGAAGCCCTCACTGAAGAAGATGATCCCAGTGAGAGTGCGGAAGCCCTCACTGAAGAAAAGGTTGATGTTGCTGCAGTGCGCTCACAGCACACTGAAGCTAACGAGTCATCAGATGAGTTCATACTGGCTCGTGAAACGGTAGTCCGTTTTGTGCAAGACTCCATCGCCGAAGCGGTGGATAAGCAAAAGCAAAACGCTGACAAGAATGGAAGGGCAAACACTCTTTTATTTAATAAAGGTGAATTAGTCCTACTGTCTACGGTTAATCTACCAAAGCATGTAGTGACTAACTTGGGTAGCAGTAAACTACTACCCAAGTACATTGGCCCATTTCGTGTATTGCACCGCCTAGGCAATGCATACACGATCGAGTTACCACGTAAGATGCGAACGCATCCCACGTTTTACGTTGGTCGGCTTAAGCCGTACCATCAGTACGCTGCTTCTTCCGATGAAGAACGCCCTTGCGCTCAAGCATCTCGCAGAGAGCCTTGTGCTCCCGATGGTGGGCATCAACAAGGGTCTGAAGAGCAGTTATCTCAGCCCGAGACCGATCAACAATCCCACGAGCTACCCTTAGCTCGTCACGAAGAGATGTCAGAGATCTCTCGTTCTCAAGCTGAGCAAAGGCAAACTCAGCTCGATGCTTCGAGGCAGTGTCCACCATCTGGAGACGCCTATTCCGCTCATGCTCGAGATCGTCGCGTAACCCTTGCGTTACGCGATCAAAGAAGCTCTCGGGAACACACCGATCCACATGATCGTGTGGAGAGCGTCTTTCCTCCTCCTCCACCTCCATTAGAGGACTCTCGCGGTGGCCAGCGCTATCTAGTTGAGCAGCTGTTGAACCACCGCGACGTGAACGGACGTCGGACGAGTTACCTCGTCCGGTGGCGCGGCTATCCCCCGTCCTGGGATTCTTGGGAGCCCCGCTCCCAATTGATGGTTGACGTACTGGGTCTGGTCGAGCAGTACGACGCGACACATCCTGTGCCGCAGAAGGACCGCCGGAGAAAGTCTTCCCGGCACGGTCGTAAAGGGATTTCAGGTTGTCAATCCCTTCGTACATCTCAGTAGAGACACGTACGCGCCACCACGGGCTGGTAAGGAGGTAAGCCTCCTTAGGTGCTCGTGCAGAGTTGTTCACACAACATGGGCACGAGTCTCCCCAAGAGAGGCAGGGTAATCCTTTCTCCCTTGACAGACGATGCAGCTTATAGCGTGCACCTGTCGGGGTTCGCTTTTCAAACTTATCACGAGCTTTGATAAGTTTGTCGTTCCAAGCGTCACGACCTACATCCTCGAGATTATGGATGTAGGCGTTCCACGCCTGAAGTAGTGAGGGACCATCACGTTTGTGATTCCCACTGTACCATCGATGTCTGAAGAAAGCATCGATGAAGAACTCCATGTTCAGCGCGATAGTCTTTCGCGCTGGGGTCAAGGTGATGAATCCCTGACGAATCGAACAATCGTGTTCGATAAAGATCACTCGTCGTCGCCGACAAGTGATCCATGACAGATTTAGGAGGCATCCATGCCTTCTTTTCTGGAGCGAGACGCAACACATTGCGGTCCCGCTCTTCCTGCGACGTGCCGACAGAAGTACTGGCACCTCGCTGTGAAGTGGTGTCCATTGGAGAAACGACACCACTATTAGCGCCCGAGTCTCGCGACCTCGAGCGCCTTCGTTCGGCGATGGTTCATCTGACTCATCAGATGAACCAAAGATGCTGCGACGCAAAGCATCGTCCATGCCACGCTTGGCAGGCGGCTTGGATTCAATTGCCGTCGATACGGATCCGTCATCCGTATCAGGAGAGTACGAGACACCGAGCTCGTACTCTGTGAAGACACGAGTGTCTTCATGACCAGCGCCTGCATCACCAGGTGATACAGGCTGAAGCCGATTCAGCAACCGATGGGACATCAGTTGCTGTAGTTTCTGCTTCGGCGTCCGCACAGAGACGTGCAGACGCGCTCTCGGCGGCCTTGCTCGCGCATCGCATGGGCTTGTTTACCATGCGATGAGATGTTGGAAAGTGGACGCGGACCAACAAGTGCAAACCCCGTCCCAAATGATTTGGGACGAGTATCCATTTAGTCAATCAGTCACTAAAGTGACTGATGGTTAAGGGGGGTGATGTAACGGGGTGAATCGTTACATAACAATTTATAAGAAATTGTTAATAGAATATAACTATAAGAGTTATATTCTCAGAATATTGTCATAAGGACAATATTCTGTAGCACTTCCAAGTAGTTCCTAATTGGTTGATATAGGCCATTATATCAACCAACGAAGACGCGCCACGACAGACGCACGCAATGAGTGGTGAGCAGATAACTGATTTACACATTTGTATTTAGACATAGTTAGATGAAGATAAATAGTGATTTATTGCAGACATTAACTATTATAAATACAGTTCTACTTTTTACTCTAACCAAGTACTCGCTTCTTCTTACCGTCTTCCTCTGCACGTACGAGTGTACGTGAAGTTCCGAGGCACCGCCTTATTCTGTTATCAGAATAAGTAGCTTGTACTGTCACCAGTACAAGCTTCAGGGTGCCCCGTTACAATGGACGCTGGGCGAACAATTGACGATTAAAGACCTGATCATTTGCGAGCTGGTAATAATTGGAGGTCGATTGCTTGACACGCCGTAGGTTAGTGAACGCGAGTGACGGCGCCGTAGATGATAACAAATCTGAGAGAGATGACGATCAATAATTTTGATGCCGTAGAAAGCGGCAATCAACCCCTGATTTCATCGTGACACAATGTGGTAGATGTGAACGGTGTGGGGAACAGACAGACTTTGAAGCTGCATCAATGCGTGCGCCTTATCATTTATAACTTGGTAGCAACATGTCACTAGATTCGTTCGCTATGTAAGTGGCAGCCTCTTCCTGGTGTTCCGTCACATTAGGGTAAACTCCGGCATTCAAAAAGTCGTATACGCAATTATTATTGCCAGCCTGGACAGCAACTTGGCAGTATAATATCAACTATAAGTAGAACTTCCTCAATACTATGCGACAACAGGATCCTTAGTTTTGTGAAGACGCACCGGATTTTAATTGACGTAGTTGGCTGTGAGGTCATGGTGTTAAGTTGAGCGATCGCGTCCAAAATGGTATAGAAGAGCGATATCTATCGCATAAGAGAACGCATACCAGGAAGTAAGGAATGTAGTAGGGTTTTCGCAGCGAAATGCGCTGTAATCGTCAGTTTGAGCTTTGCACGGGCAAGTGAGTAAACGGTGATAGTGCATCGAGTAGTTGGGATCTACTCCTGACGAAAGTGGACGTATTTCTGAGCTACTTCTGAAAACGAATCAGAATGACCCAGCCGAATAAAAATGGACCCAAAAACCGTTTAGCATTTGCCTTTTTCTTCGCACAGATATCTTGATCGATGTGATGTGGTTGTATCGTGTATGCTGACACGACAATTATAGCTGTTCTTGCTATTTCTCTCCTGACACCAATAGACACAGCAACAAGCTTGACATGTTCGCGCGCAAGTTCATCGGGACGAGTGCATACTTCGGTTTGGTAGATCCAAAAGAGTCAATGATAAGTCGGTGCTTGATCCATTCCATGATGAGGCTTGCCTTCGATTTACCACGATTCTTCATCTCTCGTCGATGGTTTGAATTAAGCGCATTGCGCATTTTATGAGAATGTAGTAGCAACGTACACGATGCATCCTGTGTGCAAGTGTAAGGGGAAATCTGATGTACATACATGGCGTTACTTACACGTAGAAGTTAACGTCATCTTCACCATCGTTAGCTCATTACCTGTACGGTTCGAAAGCTTTTTCAGCCCAATAAAAGGTTCTTGCGACAGGATAGCGGGCTATCGTCATTTGCTTGCTTAAAATGGGTGGCAATGACTACCGAGCTAGTACGCAATCCTTGGTTGCTTAAATTGGTGCCTATTTGATTTCGATTGTCGCGTAATGTGCTGCAGTCGAAGGTTAATCGACAATACTCGAGCACAATAAAGCTTCCGTCGCACACTTCTCCACAATATTGACAAAACGCCCGAGCTCCTATTTACAAGGAAGAGAAACTTGACAATTGACCGTCTCAGCTGCTCGAAAAAAAGAAGACATTGAGGAATGATCGGACCACTTTTCGCTGTGCAGGACCTCGACTTCTAGTCTTTTGCCTTTGCTCCCCCGATGCGTTCTTGATTCATAAACTTGTACGACTTTTAGAGTTCCATAAATTTAATACCAGCTTACGAAAATCCTCCACAATATAGCAGATCTCAACCAAATCTCGTATAAATTCCGCCCCCGTTAGCGTTCCAAACATCCAGTCAAAATTACTACAAAGCCAATAGTATCATTCTCTCCATAGCATTGCGTGCGGGTGGAGCATATCAACGCAAGTACTACCTCCGATCATGCAGAAGGATAGCATTCATACGCCTGGGTGTGCAGCGCCCGCAGACGCTTACGGAATCCCATCATCCGTCCGGCATAGTCCCCAGACGGACTTACCCGTGTGGCAATTCGTTCACAAATTATCCACCCCCGTCCCCAATCTAAAAAATACTAATCGACCATATACTCACATTTGCATGTTGTGTGCCGCGGCGCCGCCTCTACGATCCACGATCAAAGCAGCTCCGACGTGGAAAAACGCACTCATGCGGCAAGGCATGTCCACAAATGCCGTCGCACACGTCCAGCGCGTGCACCCGCGCGAGTTTCAAACAATTGCTGACTCTAAACTACAGAAACGAGACGCTGTCCTAGAAAACGCTCGAAAAAATTCCACTACTTTTCCAAAAACCCACGACACGCGAGGTCTCAAATTCACGACATCGAGCGAGAAAAGGGTGTGTGAAGTAACGCTACAAAGTCGCACCCAACAGCTGAGCCGCGGGACGAAAAGACGCGGAGACGACAAGAGGCTTGAGAGGCCGTCAAAGAGCCGGAAAGTTCGGGCCAAGGAAGGACCAGTGGACACGCAGGACCCACTGAGCAAATGTGACAAGGTGCAAGACTCCGATACGATCAGGCGGTGGCTTCTGTCGTCGGGAGCGCCAGTCTCGATGCTTTGTGATCGAGATGTGCAACAGTTGCTCAAGCTTCTTCTCCCGGAGCCTCTAATCTGGCCATTTAAACGGGACTTGATTCGTCATGTGCAGGACGAATTTGTTACATTTGGCCATTTGCTGCAATCGTATCTAGCCGCAGAGTCACGAGCTGCACTGGGACTACCGTTTGTATCAATTTGCCACGAGTTTCGGCCGATGGATGGCATTGCAGCTGAACGTGACGTGACGCATTCGAGACTGTTGGATCGGGAACGAGCGTTTTTCAGTCTTTCAATCGGATTGATTGACTCCCACTGGCGGAAAGTGGACCTGGCGCTTGCAGCAAAAGTCGTCCCGCGTACGTGGGACAAGCAAGTGAACAACCTTGTGAGTGAGACGGCAGAGAAGGCGTACAACATCCAGTCGATTTCCGACTACGCACGGTTTAACGTCGTTGTTAGTGATGATGATCTGCCGTATGGAGAAGACGAGTCGTTCACAAGCGAACAGGAGGACCTGCTTACACGTACGCTTCGCCATTGTGTACATGAAGCTCTTGGTGTTGGACTCTGCAGCCTGTCTGGTGTTGAGACAAATGTGTGTCGCATTCTGCGCTTACTGCAAGAGCTGGTGCACTTCTTTGAACCGCCGGATCGGTCCCGTGCTCTGGCCGAGATCGGTGCTGGTCTTGGCGCGGACACGTCACTTTGCTCAATTAACTCGATGGAAACACTGGCGTCTCCCACCTCGACTTCGATCGGCGCGCTTGCAAAACTGTTCGCGACAAGTTGTGCTCAGTTCCCTTTGTACCAGTCTTACTTCCAGTCCCCGACGAGACCTTCAGCGACGAATCCTAGTGCTAAGTTAGCATGGACGCAGCTGACCACACAGGATTGGCAGACGGTGGCGGAAATCGAGGCAATCTTGAACCAGCTTGGACAATTCTGCCTTAATGATCGCCTAGCTTCGAGAACGCGCACGGTGACACCATCGTATACGATGCTATTCCGAAGACTTCTGTCCGTTGCGACGGCTGCGTCTAGCTTTAAGGGCTACTTTATGGATGAGTCTTCGATTGATCCTCCGCTCGTCCAGAGCACGGTGCAGCGTAAGGCCAAATGTGTGGACGATTTTACTCTGACTGGCCAACAGTGTCTCGTGCAGCTTCGGCAGCTCATCGTACAAAATTTTCCGAGTCCTTCAACTCCGTCTGCAGTCGATGATGAGATCAAAGCTATGCTACTAGATCCTCGTGTCAGCTCCAAGGTTGGTGATCTTGTAACAGACACCCATGCATTGTGTCGCGCTCAGGAGACTTTGCGCCAGGAACATCGTGCTGCTTTCGAGTTGCTCACAGTTTGTGATGGAGATGAAGTCCCTGGTGCCGATAACGAGACCAAAGATGAACTCGATGATGAATTCAGTGCTCTGTTAACGGTCGAGGGGCCGAAGAACCAGTCGCCTACGGTATCGTCCACCACGATTAGCAGCAGACATTCAAGCAGAGGTGCTGTATCTGAAAAAGAGTCTCGCGCTTGGCGAGAGTGGCAGAATGTATGTGTCGAGTGGAATACCCTAGCGCAAGATGGAGCCGACTTGTTCCACAAGGGCAAGTATAACTTGCTGAAGCTGTACCACCACGTGAACATACTCGAGTGGTTCCGTGACGTTGGTCAGCATGCACATCCGGCAGCGTCGTTGCTGGCGCGCATTTATCTCAGCCAGCACTCCCCGCCCTCTCAATTCCTCATGCCGTCGCTCTCGCACTTTGCGGTACAAGAAGAGGCTATTTGGGTTTCGGGGGCTGCGGAAACAGCAGAAATGCGGTGCATTTTGCATCAGAATTGGCGCCAGTATCAAGAGCTGAGCTCCAACGCAGCACGATCTACCGCCAGTGACAAAAGGATCAACCCGGGTGGACGTTGAGTCATTCTCATACCAGGCTGCTTTAGCTGGGCGTGACAGATCTCGATGTATGGCTTTACTCGTCTGATACAAATTGATACGATGCCCCTCAAGTCGACAGTCACACTTCTTGCACACGATAGCAACGTATTTCGACCATTTCCAGGAGGACTGTAGCAGAAACTTTTTGCTGTTCTTTGCAGCTTTGGTACGGACTGCGACTTGCTGTGGAGTTGGTGCTGGACGCTGTGTTGGTGTTGAGCTGTCCGATTTTCGAATCAGTGTTCGATTTCAATGCAAGTGGTCGTCTCGTGGCGGTTGAATGAGTATTCAGTTGATGTGATGATAGCGACAAATGACAAGCTTGCCAGCGGGAGCAATAAAATCCGGTAAAGTTCTACTTGCGGCGCTGGATGTTCGAAAGCTGCATGCGCAAATCGCTTCGCACAAAGTAATCAACTGAAGTGTTGCTGTTTGTACGTGCTTGGTAGCAATTCTGTTCTTGTTGTTGAAGTCACGAATGGAGATGAGGAAGGTACGGGAGGGTCGCATTTCTCAGCATGCAGTTTCCTGTTTACTATCGGTTTCGTGTACACTGGGGGACTTTTGTCAGTGTCATGTAAGCATCGGCATCAAATGAAAGGGCAGAACCCTGACGTATACTTTCCAGCATCGTGATTGAATGTTGGTATGTTCAACACTACATTCCGTCTCGCTCCGTCACCAAGCCATGATTATCTATCGTCTTGCTTTTGATACTCTAATACTACATTGGCTCGCAACTTCGAGTCAACTTGGGGGCTCCGATATTTACCGGATAGACACGCTTTGTCAGTAAACCCACGACTTGCACTGCAACTGGTAGCCTCACATACAGGCAAAAAATCAACGATGTACACTTATAGGCTGTCATTGACGATTAATTAGTTGCGCGACATCTGTGAGACTGCAACCGCACGTGAACTTCAATACGCTACCCACCCAGATCCGAATCCATATCCTGACATGCTTGGTCTGCTCGATTATCAATGAATCAACCGCACCTGGCGCTGAATCAATGTATCTACAACAAATCACACGTCTGTCCCGGTTTTCGTTCGCTCCGAGTCGACATCCGAGCTGTGGTTGCTGTCCAAGCTTGAGGGAGACACTGGCTGTGTCTTAGTAGGACTCGGTGGGTTCTTCTTGTCGGCCGTCTCTATTTCTTTCGCATCTTCGTTTATTGCCAGGAGCTCGTCATCCAAATGCTCCACCGGCTCGGCATTCTCATTGTCAGTTCCTCCAGAGCTCAGCGAGCAGGCTGACACGCCAAAGTCAGCGGCCCGATTCGGCCGCAACAAAGTGAGATCGAAATGCGACTCACTCGTTGACAAAAACGTGTCCAGCATCTTGTCCTCCCTCACCGTGAGTGGTCGGGGCTTTGAAGTCCTCTCGGAACTGGTGTCACTAGCCGACATCGGCGACGACGCGGTCTCTCCATTGCCCTCCTCATCCGGTTCAGGAACATCGCGCTGCTCTTCGTCGGGACCGTCCATGTAGTTGAACGCAAAATCGTTAAACAGCTCGTCATTCGAGCTCTTTGCCGACGCGGGCGTATCAATAGGGACCTCTGTCGTATTCATGTACGTCTCAAAAATGTCTTCAGTCCGGTACTCTTTCGCGTGCTTTTCCATGAGTGCATATTGACCCTCAAACAACGCTTCTTTTCGATCAACACTGTCCCAATCAAGTCCCTTGAACCACGGGTGGCACTTAATTTGCTCAAAGCCCTTCTCGCCCGAACCCAGTCGGGCCGCTTCGTTCTTTGTGAGCAATTTCGACACAAAGTCCTTTGCGTCTTCGGTAAAACGAGGTGAAAATTTCAAATCCACATTGACAATGCGCTCTTTGATGAGGCGATTCGTCTTTGCGTTAAATGGCGTACGACCGTCAATCATCTCATACACCATGACACCCAGAGCCCACCAATCCACAGCACGCGAGTACGACTTGCCACTAAACACCTCGGGCGCCATCATCTGATACGTGCCCACAAACGTCGACGTACGCCCCTTTTCAGGCATGTTCTCTTTCGACATGCCAAAATCGGTGAGCGCCACGTGACCGTCCGAGTCCACCAGCACGTTCTCCAGCTTGAGATCGCGATAAATAATATCATTCTGGTGCAAATGACGGATGGCCAGCGCCACCTCGGCAGTATACAGCCTCGTGCGATCTTCGGCAAACCTCCGTGCCAGACGCATCTGGTCCAGCAAATTGCCTCCAGGATAATACTTGGACAGCAAGTACAGCTTTGCTTTCGTCTGAAAAGCATAGCACAGCGTCGCGACATAGGGATGTTTGATCCGATCGAGAATCCGCCGCTCGGCATTCGTGGCTTCCACGAGCCCGCGCTGAATCATCAGTTTCTTGCGAATAGCCTTCATGGCGTAAAACACACCTTCATCATAGCCGTGTTTCTTGCGCACGAGCTTGACGCGGCCACAGGCGCCGCGTCCTACAAGCTTGACAATCTCAAAGTCCCCCAAACACACAGGATCATCATCATCGGCCATCGGACGGATAAAGACACTGCAGCGTTCCTGGGACGCAGCTGTTGGACTCGTGTGGTTCTTGGCACTGCGGTTCTTCCGACGCGGATCAATCAAGCACGGCAGCGACTGGCAGAGCGAACAGACGCGCCAGCTGCCAAACGCCGGCACGAACTTGTCTTCACAGCAGCGACTGCAGTACTTGACTTCACACCACGAGCACGGGATGCGGCGATTGAGCATCGTGAGTTTCCGGTGGCAGATGCCACACGCACTGATCTTGCTCGCGTTCACGGTAATGCCCGCGGCTTCACCATCCCGGGCGGCAAACGAGCCAAAGACCGAGCTCTTGACCATCTCGAGCGCATACGCGCCACTGCTGCCCAACACATTGGACGGCACGGTGCCCGCCGAGACGCAGACGCAGCCGTGACGCGCGTGGCCTTGCGGGATCTTGCAGCCCACGTCAATGTCGGCGTTCAGGATCCACGCGACTGCTCGGCGCGCGAGCATGCGCCGTGCAAAGTACGAATCGCTGTCACTTACGTAATGCGACGGTTCAACGAGCGCCAGTGCCTTGACGCGGTCCTGCATCACGCCGGCTCCATTGTCGTAGTTCAACAGGTGCAACACCATCTGGGCGCCGCGGGAAAACGCGACAATGAACACGTCGCTCTGCAACGGCGCAATCAAATGGTCCCACGCACTCTCGACGTGCGCTCTCGGGTGGCAACTCTGGGCGGCTGGGTTTAGAATCACCACGCCGTAGTCCTCGCTCAGCGCTTTCTTCAGGTACGACATCATGGACCCACTGTCGCTGTCGCTGTCGAATTGGTTCATGCAAATGCTGCGACTCCAGATGCCAGCTTCCCGGTAAGGTACGATCACCAACACCCGCTGTTTCGACGCATAGCCGCTCGAGACATACACGGTCCCTTTGCTGCAGTCGCTGCAAGCAGACGAGGCGACGCTCGTGCGACGGGGCGCGTCTTTCCCGGATACCAGCTGCCGCGTACTGGCGGCCGTAGCGGGCCAGGGGTGCGAGTCGCTATCGGTACCTTGTACCGACGACCTATCATGCGGCATAGAACTGTCGACTTGCTTGTGCGTGCGACTCGAGTCGGTTTCCGAGGCTTCTTCGCCCGACGACACGACGAGCTCTTGGAAGCCTAATTCCGACTGCAGGCGACGCTGGACTGTGCGGATCAACGTGTCGACGAACGCACACGAGTCTTCGGCCGTCGCGCCTTGGGCCAACCCCACGCTCCCCCGTCGTCCAGCCACTAAATGGGTTGCGGGACCACTGTACATTTTATGATGACTCGATTGACGCTTGGCACTGCCGAGACTGGCCGAGCGCGGTTTGCGGGCAGCAGAAGCGATTGCGCTGGATTCAGTGGCGCCCAAGGGCGACGCGGCGTTTGTGGGTGGGGTGATGACTCGCACGTCCGTGACGTCGGCGTCGCGAGGAAAACGAAAGAATCAATAGAGCGGGAGTCGCGTCGTGTCGCCGCTCCTCGTGTCGTAAGTTTCTATTGCGATTCAAAGGCAGAATGGACAGAGAGAGCGAGCGCGAGGCCGATTATGTCTCTTTTCGTGTGCGTGAACACTCTCGTGGAGAATACCCGGAATACACAATATCAGCTGTTGGTCAGAGGTGATCGATCTGCCAGCGCACCCGAGCGGCTGAGAGGCTCGTGAGACATCGTGCAACTGCGATATGGCATATGTTCCAGTCTCCAGACGATTCACGGACGAGATCCGTAATCAGCTCAGACGAGCCGGGATGCTGCACATCAACCGCCTCAGCGAATAGGGTAGATGCTCCGCAGACTTTTCCGCTCGGACTTCCGTGCAAGCGACGGGACAGGCCGACCATCGGGTTCTAAAGCGACCTCCTGCGCCACTTTTCCTTCTGGGTCGGTGGCCATCTGAATGCGACTGAAAACGTGCTTATTTCGCTCGCAATAATGAACGTCGTCGCATCGTGTCTCGCCTGCGCGTCGTTTCGCTTTGAACTTGACAACAAGCGCATCATTTGCGTTTCCGGCGATCGAAAACCGCAGCAATAGAAGCGCCTGACACGATAAACGATGGATCAGCTGTTGAGGTCCACATTGCCCCGTCTGCGGCAGTTGAAGAACGTTAACGTCGGTGGTGAGGGCTGACCTGACACACGAGCCGCTTCTTGTCGAACGTCAACGTGGTCAAAGTGGGAAAGTAGGCACTTCCCCTGGAACAGCTTTTCCCCATCGCTTCCACTTCCGTCGTGTAGATACAGACGCCATTTCTGTCACCAATTAGCGATCTATCGATCGTGTTAACGATGTGTCTCTCTTCTTTTTCCCCTATTTCCCCCCTCTCTCTTTCTCACTTGAGTGCAATAACGGACACGTGACAGATGCGACCTTTGGTCCCAAAAAAGCTGCGACATGTGGATTGGCTACATCCTGATGTGGTCTACACCAATGTACTAAATCATGGCCACCACGACCACCACCAGTAGCTCTTCAATCCATGTGCTGCTCACGGGCGTCTTATTACCTGCCTGCTGCCGTCCACAGGGCGACTCCAGCTCCGTCGATTGCCTATCCCCATTTCCATCATCTCATCTACTACACGCCCAAGTTGTATGTATTAACGCCGTCGCAGGACTGAGTTACGTGGTCTGGAAGTGCACGTCTCCCTCAGCTTCTGGTACTTTTCCAGACGCGTTTTCACCGCCAGGAAACGTCCATTCGAAGTGGTTTTTGCAGCAAAACGTGACGATCGTTGAGCGTGTATCACCCGAGGCCAATGTGGCATTGGATTGTGACTCTAATGACTCGAAAGGGGACGTCGAGAACCCGCTGGTCATGCTCTGGCGGTCGAGAACCAGTCAGATGGGCCGTTTTACGGTCGCCAAGCAGCTCATTCGAACAGGACAACGAGCGTTTCAAGCTGCAGCATTTGCTGTCATTGTACGAGAAGCTCAAGTCGCTCGACGGTGTCACTGGTGCTTTCTACGGCTCTGTAAGAAGGCAGTTCAGTGCGCCGACTGCGCGTTTGCACGATATTGTTCGCGTGACTGTTTAGCAGCAGATGCGACGCTGCATGACTTTCAGTGTCGAGCGCTGCGAGCTTTAAAGTGCAGAAACAATGGTGACGGTAAAGTCGGAGATGTGGAGACTGTGCGGTTAGCGCTTGCAGTACTAAGCATGAACAGGTTTGTCCGGAATCCTCACGCGTTGAAGCAGTTGGTGGTTCACTGTGCTGAAGAGAGTGCAAGTGCAAGGGCCGAAGCACGGAATGCTGTGGAGTTTATTGTCAAGAATGCAGGTCGAGTTCTGGATCGAAAACTCGTGTGGACTACGCTTGAGCGCGTCCGCTGCAACGCTCATCCGTTGTACGTTGATGGCGTCACTTGTGTGGGCTCAGGCGTCTTTCCCGACGCAGCTATGGCACTGAATCACTCATGTCTACCTAATGTGGTGCCCAGTTTCGACCCACGTACTCGGACACTTGCATTCCATGCTATTGCTGATATCCCACCAGAGCACGCGGTAGAGTGTGCATACATTGACTTGTTGCAGACGAGAAAGAGACGTCAAGCGCTACTTTCACAAGGGTTTGGCTTCGCCTGTGTTTGTCTACGGTGCACAAGCGAGCGTGGGTTGGCGAGTACGCATGGACAAGATGTCGCAGACGAAAATGAACAAGAGGGTCAGACAGAGATGCGAGTGATGGAGGAACTGATGCAACTTGCACACTCTAGTCACGCTGGTGCAATGCAACATCTTTCTCGCTTGAAGAGAGAGTGCGCGGGTGTCTTCAAGCACAATTGCGAAGCTCAGTTTGCACTATACACCGCGGAACTGCAACTTGCTCGTGTTGGGTGTGATTGGAAACGCGTAGTGGACGCAGCTGAGATGTTGTTGACGATCTGGACGCGATGTGGTCTCCCGAAGAATTACCACACGACCGAAACACTGTACATGCAAATATATTGTGCTGCAAGGCGTGCTGGGATGATTGACAAGGAAAAAGCGTCGGCCCTGCAAGTGACACGCATTCGGCAAATCTGTGGTTACGTGCACCCCGAAACGCTCGTTAGTTGAACTGGACGCTAGCTCCAATGTCGTGACAAGCGTGAGAGTCAACTTTTATCCAGCACGCATGTCGGATTTGGTGAACAAAGCAGCCTTCTCACGTCCAGGCGAATGATTCGTGTACGTGTCCACGTCTCCCTTCGTGGGGCTACCACCCCATGAAATGTGGTGGTGCACTAGTATCATCCAACCTGGCTGAGCTCTGTAAGCGGAACAGCTTTCCCGTAACTACAACACAAGCTTTGCTCTTCAGCTTTTCGGAGTCGCAACAATGTCAGTGTGCGCTTGTCGTCACGTTGGCGCTTTGCCAAAAACTCATCTTTTAGTATGCTTCGCCTCCGTAAGCGTGTTGATGTAGCACGAATCTGTCGTCCCCATTGTGGCAGAGCAGATTTGTAGTTTGGTTGAGAGCCAGCTGCCCGAAGGTTTGACGCCTCTGGGCTTTGCTATCATATGGTATTGCCGCACAAGGAACTGCCTCTCAGTCCGATGGTTGGACGGAAGGACTTGTAGCTGCAACATCAGTGGCGTATTTGTGGAGAAACGGTGCGTCACGGGAAGTAACTGATCTCGCGCGTCAGCAACTGTCGAAATGCGGGAAGCAGTTTACAGCGCGACAAGCTGGTCCCGACAGACCACGTATTCTCGTCTGTATACTTGGGCTCGCTTTCTTGCAGACAGGAGTGACCGTCTGCTCAGCGTGACAGCTGCAGCGGTCTCCCTGGCTCTGGCTTGTTCGCTGAGGATTCGATGCGAGGAGAAAGGCAGATCGCGTCGCCCGGTCTCGCTAGCAGCACTTGTCGTTCATGTCGGAGGATTTCGTGTTGCATTCACTACCATTAACTGCTGCTGTTTATGCTTTGAGTTCATGATCGGGTTACAGCTTCTGCTATGCTGCAGTTTGTGGGCTTGGTCATACCCGAGAAATCTACTGCAGCGTTTTCTTCGGGGAGCGGGTCTGCTGTGCACGATGTGTGTTGGCTACGCTCAGCTCATGCATGAAACAGTCGGCCCTAGCTGTTTGCTACTCGTGACATTTCAGGTGTTCATTAGAAGCATTGAGAAGTACAGCGCTTGGATCGACGTTGTGGCTGAGCTCGTATTTCAAGGACATGAACGACTGGATGGGTTTGTAGTTGTGTGTGATGATGCGAAAGCCGTGCACGCTACGCAGTGTTGGTGGAGCTCGTGTCGTTAGTCTTTTATCCATCCACTATATTGTCGGCTGGAACTGTTCCTGGGAAAACAGGGGTCAAGGACAGAGTTGCACGTACAAAGTGATACCGCTGCCCTGTTGATGATTCACAAGCTTACGATCCAGGCAAGCTTACCTCTTTTAAATGTGGATGGGTTCCGGATCGACTTCAGAATTGCTTGTAACTGGAGTCGACGCCCGCTTGACGTTCTTGGCTGCAACGTCCTTGACTGACTTCTGACTGCGCTTTGTACTCTCACGCCTGCATTTGATAAATGAAAGGGACGTTCGTGGTTGTTGCTCGTGGGTTACGAGCAAATGTGGTGTCAGCGCTTTTTTTCCACAGTGTGTACGACGTCCTTGGGCCATGTCGTAAAAGATGGCCTCAACAGGAAGGCATGTTACCACAAAGTAATCGTAAAGCCTTTGTAGTGGTTGATAAGGCATATAGCACTAGAGAATGAAGCCACTATTGCAAGATGTCGCAGTCTACAAGCCAAGCGGGAACGATAGTGTCGTAGTCATCGCACTTTGTGCGAGACGAGGTCAAAGTACCTGCAGAAACACGTTGCACCCTTGAGGTTCACGTACAAGAGGCTCCAATTATAAAAAGCTCCACCTCATTATTCTCAAAGCCCAAGATCGATTACGAGTAGATCACTAGAACGTGTTTTACGGTAGAGTTATCACGTGTGACGGAGAAGACATGCCTGTCGGTGTTCATGCATACTGTGCATCTAAACGAAGACTTCATCTAAAAGCCATCTTTTGGCGAATAGACTGTCGAAGGAGTATCCCGCTGACGCTTTACTTCTTTCGGTTGCGCTAATGATCCTAATGTCGGGTAAGAATGTCCATGGGTAAGAATGTCCATGGGTACGAATGTCCATGGGTAAGAATGTCTGTGTGCTCTAGATGTACGTGAAACAACCTGGATGTGACGTTCGCACGCTTAAGTTCAAGCTGTAGTTCTCCATGTATGCGAAGGGCGTGCTCATATCAACTCCAACATGGTCGTGTTGGCGCTTGTTTGCGCAGTACGTCGTCAAGAGCTCTCGTTGGTGCAACAATCTCCCAACTGATCGTAACTTCCTCGCATTGAGAGAGACCAATACCAGGCCAGGCCGACACACAGGTCAAATGCATCTTCAATAATGCAAACTCATCAGCGACGTCTTCGAATCTAATCTCTCTGTCTGCACGTATCAATGCCACATCGTCATTGACATGCCAGCCTCGGTCACCCGACACACTTGACACACGATAACAAGGAGGACGTATACAACGAACTGCTTTTTCCGTCCAGCATTGACGTTGCCAACTCCGATGTGAAGTAAATGTATTCAACTTCCAGCGAGACGCTATGCTTCGTAGTAAAGGTCACTCATAAATTCCTCAGTGACACTCGGTGTTCAGCAGAACCGCTCTCGTTGTCGGGCCATGTGTCAAGGTCGGATGATATGCCAAGACTATGCACTGTGCAAGTCCTGGAGAAGCCGTCGGTTCATCTCTACATATGGTCGACTGCTATTCATCCGTCAGCGTGGAGCAAGTCGAACCGGTCATTTCGCTCGTCTCTGCCGAGACAAAGTCACGCAGAAGCCAGTCGGGCATTTTCCGCCCTTGGTCTCGCTACATTTGCGGCATTCGACCAAATAGCAGGTACTTTGGACGGCGTCTCGTTTCCGCGTGATCTGAAGCAATTCGGCGGTGAAGGACAGCACGTTACAATAATCTTCTCCCAGCCGACAGTTGACCACTATCTGCACTGCAGTCAGTAGTATCTCCGATACCGTCCCCCCTTCTGCTTCCTCTTCGATCTCCCAGCGAGATAGATCGATCGATCGTACCTCTTCATTCGCTCCCTTATTCTTGACTTGTGACCAACTGCTGCACCTAAATGACAGCATCGAGCTCAACAGCGTGTTCAGATGGTGACACAAGCTCGACGACGGACTCGAGGTGGTTCATCATTGGCATCGCTGTGGCTATAGTGGGGTTCCTTGCGCTTGGAAGCTGCTGGTGGTGGTGCTGCTGCCGTCGTCGGACCTTAAAACGCTTTAATGGATCTCGAGACGGCCACAGTATCGAGTATGTGGACTGCGAGTTGACCCCTGAACTAATGGCGATCGTGGCTGATAGCGCCCATCGCTCTTCCAGTGCCACGCGATTCGGGAACAGGTTCTTTTATTATTTGCCGGGCATCACGAGTGTGCCGTCTATGGACGTGTTTGATCAATTCAGTACAAATAGCGCGCAGAAATCGTGTAGTCCAGCTACAACAACTGCAGCAACTACCATCATGGAGTCGTCGCCACTGGACGATGCATTGCAGGTACCAGTGATGTGTGATACAAGTGACGAGTTGACGCGCAATGCGCTCGTTTTGGAGCAGTGTCGATTGTCTCCAGAGAGTATCGTCAGGGGCGGCGAGCTTTTGCGTGCAGGAAGTTTCACCTCGGCATTTCGGACCACGCTTCAACTCGAGGGTCAGGACCGTCGTCAAGTGGTTGTGAGACGTCTGCTCCCGGCGCTGGCAGACCAGCAAGTGTATCGCCAAGCTTTCATGGCAGATGTAGCACTTAGTGCGGTGCTCGTGCATCCACAGATCGTGGCATTTGTTGGATTTTATGACCCGACACAGCGCGTCTACGACCTCGATGCTTCCCCGTCGTCGTCATATATGTTACCACAAGCGCAGCTGTCTGCTGTGACCGAGTACATGGCCAACGGAACTTTGCGAGATCTTCTGATGCTGCGGTCCCGCGACACTCACGACTTTGGCTGGTTTAATTCCATCTCAGTGCTTAAGACGAAAGCACAGCTTGCGTTGGACATTGTGGATGCACTAGTCTATTTGCAATCTCGACCAGCAGGTACAAGTACACCGCTGCACCCTCCAGAGCTCAAGGCGCAACGAGTGCTATTATCCGAGCAGTACGACGCCAAGCTGTGCACGTTCGGTATCCGGAGAGCAGTGGGTATTCAAGCCACACACTCTCGCAGCGATTTCTCTGTTGCATGGTTAGCACCTGAGCTGCTACGAGGCGAGCCTAGAAGTGAGCAGGCAGACGTGTACGCTCTGGGCGTGCTGCTAACAGAGCTCGACACGTGCAAACTACCGTTTGAAGCGGGTGTAGACATGGATGATCATATGGATGAGCAGCGGCAATTGGCACTGCTCGTGAGCTCAGGTTGCATCCGTCCAGCCGTGTCGATGGACTGTCCTGTCCAGATCCAGGAACTGGTGATGCGGTGTTTAAGCTTCTCGCCGCAGCAGCGCCCGCCTGCAATTGAAGTGCAGCACACGTTACGAAAACTGATCAACAGCACGAGCATTTGCAATTCGTCACCGACCTCGCTCTTGTCCAACGTGCCATCGCTCTATAGCACGCCAGGACCATGTATTACGACACTCAGCGCTCTCTTCACCCCGTGATGAGGCTGGCCGTACAAAGTAGGCAAGGAAGGTGTTCGAGAGGGCAATACGAAATCAACAACCAGTAATATGTATATAAATATGAACTCGACAGATATCGTAGCGCACCTCTCCCTAATGGTGGGTCTAGAGACTCGACAACGGTACAGTGGCGCTTGATTCTGAATGAGAGCAACAGCATAGAGAGGAAATATGTGTGTAAGTCCCAACAGCAGCAACAGTTTCAGATGATCTACTGATGCCCTGCAGGAACTAATGGAGGAACGAAAGGTTTGCGCGAACGTCATGAGGGTGGCAAAGTAAGCGACGCTGGTAGCTACAGCAAAAAGCGTCTTCAACATTATAGGCACACGTATCTTTATCGCTCCCTGCCGTCGTCATGTATTCTTTTTTTCATGCGTGTAATCAAGAGTGGGTGGGATACGTAGCCGCAAAAAAGGCGGTGATTACAGGTGAGATGGATCCGACGCCTGACGATGATGGGCAGAGGGATTGCCGAAAACGAACTGAAGTGGCATTCCCGTGTGCATGCTGACGCTGCATGGTAGGGGCCGCAGGTGTTTCTTAGTTTACAGCTGTTGGGCTTGCGAGTAGAAGGTAGTGTTGACTACAATAAGGAATCGACGATTCCGTGCTCGAATTGCCAAGCTACACGCGTTGCCAGCGATCCACAAATAGCTGTCGACTAAAGGGATTTTCTCTGCCTGTGCTTGCTGACAAACGCTCTTGAAGGTCATGTCGGTGTTGTCACGGAGCCTGAATCTTTCGCCCAACACAGTCGGTCTCAAAGCCAGCTCTAGTGGACGACGTAGCACATTAGGCGAAGTAACAGCAAAGCCTTCCTCAACCGTAAGCTTGACGTCTGATTCATCCGCTGCGAGCACAAGGCGGCAGGCTTTCTTTTGAACTCAGCAAGCCAAACCAGCCATTCGACGGAGAGCAGGTGTCGGTGCAGATGTGCTTCATTGCTGTTCGATACCATTAACGATGGCGAAAGAGTCACCGGGCATATCCGCGAAGAAAGATTGTCTCAGGCTGAAGTTTGACGAATTGCTTGCAGAGGTCTGAAGTTCATGCAGTGAAATAAATCACATACCACATCCATCAAAGACTTCAGGCAGTCGGCCAACTCGTCGCGTGACACGACAGTAATCCGACCACTTCTGCTTTGAGCAAGACTTTGAACTACAATGTGCCAGTGTACAATGCTGCTCTGTTCGCAGCAAAAAAAAGTGATGCCAAGTGATCTCGAGATACCGCAATGCGAAACAGAATCGATGAGAATAGACAGTATCGTGTTCCTTACGCACAGTGAATGGCTTTGACACTGACGAAACCCCATGTGCGTCTGCTCTAGTCATTGCCACGCTCAACATCCGAGTCAAACAACCACTTGACATTCACTTTTCCTTCACGAGATGCAACAATTGAAAAGGTGGCCACGCCTGATGGTCTTGCCTGGGCTCGCTGAGCTCTCGGCAGCGCAGCAGCAACAGCCGTCACGGCACTGGCAACCCGCGCAGCGGAACTCGGTCGGGCACGATGGGACAAGACGTGGCCGTCAGCTCTAGAGCACCACACTATCTTCTCGACGCTCAAGACAGAGCCCCAGCTCCGTGTCTTTCGCCTTGGCGTAGATCCTCGTGGTGTGCCGTTGCAGCCAGAGTTCATCTTCAATGCACCCGAGTTTTGCCTGTCCTTTCTGAAAAGTACCAAAACTTGGTAGAGAAAGGCTCGTTTGGGTTTCCATGTAAGCAGAAAAAGCACGAGCAACAGATGGCGACGCCACGAGATGCTTTGATTGGTCAATCGATTTCGAGCCAATCACAACGCGCAAAGAAACAGAGCAAAGACTTTGAGTGGCGTAAAAGGAGTTTCACATTCCCAAATTTTTATGGTTCAGTTCAAGCCAGTCTTTCCCCCTTTGGGGCCGCCACTTTGGAGGGAATCTTCCCCATCGGGGAGCCGAAGAGGTCTGGAGATTGCCCCGAGCGCGCTGCACTCGCAGTCTAGGTTGTGGGGGCAGTGGACCGACGGGTCGCGCAAGCGGCCAGGAAGGGGAAGGTTACGGAATGGAGGCGAGCCCCGCGCCACGTGTTACCGCTTCGGCGGTCGCACAGTCCAAGTCCTGGGGGTCGCCCATGCGACCTCGGAGGGGGCCACCATCGCAGATGGATGAGCTCCTAGGGGAGATAGTACGACGGGTTGGCGTTCCCCACGCCTTGCGGTCACATCGGGGATCGCGCTACACGTCGAGGGGCCGCGCACGCGGCTGTTGAGGGCCACCATCGCAGATGGATGAGCCCCTCGGGGAGATAGTACGACGGGTTGGCGTTCCCCACGCCTTGCGGTCACATCGGGGATCGCGCTACACGTCGAGGGGCCGCGCACGCGGCAATCGGAGGCCCACCATCTCGGATGGACCGGCTTCTACGGTATAAAATACGGCTGGCAGGCGTACCCCCGTCATCGTTATCGCCTCGACGATAGCGACATCCAGCCCGGACGGTCGCTTTAGCGGCCACAAAGAAGTCTGTACCTGATTTTAGTGGCATTCTCCCAGCCTATCTTTCAAGCGTTCTTAGTGCATAGGGCAGCGTTGCACTGAGACCGCCTGAAAGATAGGCTCGAATCTGGCTTGGGTTGGATGTCTATGACCTCCGCTACCCTTGCCCCCGGCTCTTCGGAGCACCCACGGTGTGGATCCATTTTCGGATCACACTTCCAGAAAACTTCAGTCGTTAGTTATTCGTTAATAATGGACGTACTTGACACCACCACGTAAAAGGAGTTTCATCACCGGGTTGCCCAAAAACAGCCGCTCGTGCAGCACGTAACCGCCACGTGTTATAGTCGGGCGACCGGTTCCGCTACCAAACGAAAGGTCTCTCGCATGCACGTGGTTATGCTCGCTAATGAGGCAGGAACAGGCGAGTGTGGCGACTACGTGCTGGTGCAGGGGGCAGCAAACTTGTTGGTGGTCGTGCTGGTGGCGTGGATGCAGCGGCGCTTCAAGTCTTGACGTCTCCCGGCCCTGTCCCTGGGCAACTTGCAATTGCTGAGCAGGGCGTCAATTCGTCGAGTGTGAAAGGACCCGTTTCGTGTCTCCTACTACTTTACCGTGCAGGAAGCACGGGATGCATGCTGAGCTGTCTGCTGGTTGGAGGATCTGACGAAGCCGATGACCGCGCCGTTGTTGGGAATGGATTCGACGAAGAGTGTGTATTGGCGTCCGCCACTCCTTGCCGTTACAAAGCAATCAGATGTTGATGAGGCGAGTGTGGTGCTACGCAATACGATCTTGAACGTGTGCTCGTCGCCAGAAGAGATGGCAAAGTACGCCATGGGTTTTCAGGAAGATCTCGAGGCGCTGCAGAGCTTAAACCAGAAAGGGGTGAGGACAGCGGCTTTGGGTGGGTCCTCAGCTTCCACTCTTGTTGATCAGAGCGGGCCTCGTCGAAATAAGCTGCGCATTTGCTGTAACGATGCGCGGCCAAATACGCTGTAGCCACCAGCGTGTTCGCTATCGTTGATTTCGTCGATGCCGCCAGAGTGACTTGTTCGTGCTATCCTCATGACCACGACGTGTCTTCGGAGGTGTTTGGTAAGCAAGAGAGCTGAATGAGAATCCGATGGCGCAATAGATATGTATCTTTCCAGTTCCCCTCTTCCAGATCTCTGTATTGTGCCTAACTTCAGTCTGTGTCGATGTGATATCCAGCTGCCGCCCAAAACACACCCACCGACGTCCTTTAGCGAACTGGATAAAGAAATTGATGAAGATTGATTGGCATATTCGTGTCAGTAAAAGCACGGCTGTGAGAATGCCATCACCCCACCACTTCGTGTGGGGCCCTACTTTCTCAAACGTTGAGCTATTTCGCCGCAACACCTTCTGCTTTGCTTCACGATGTCAGCGTCAACTGTGTTAGTTGTGCTGATATTCTATGGCTTTTAAGGCATTCAGCTGTCCTCCGGGACACTAACAAGTAGTGTCGTCTTCATGCACAGCTCGTTCTCCGATCATCTATTCTACTCGTACTTCCACACAACATTCCTTGTAGATCACTGCCTGTCAGCCACTGTATCTGTCAGTAGACGCACTTGGATCGTGTTTGGATCGCGTATAGCTTTTCCTTCGCCACGATGAGTCGACACATTGCGAATGCGTTCTTGTTTGTACGAAGCCGATGCCCTGCACCGCCTACACCTTCCAAATCATCTTGAATCGCGTTGAAACATCTCCTTCACGTAATGTTAGCGCCGGACAGCGCACTGAGTGATAAAATTGATACTTGAGCAAAGATCCACCTTTCCATCCTCTTCTATTGCTTCTTCTAAGAAGAAGCAAAGTGCGGTGATCACCACCCACAGCCTCTAAGAATGCGTCCATTCAAGTGCTTGTGTTCAGCGGGTCTCGTGATCTGTTTCATACACTTCAGTGCTGTGCGAATCGGTCCTGTATCCAGTACTTGTGCTCATCTACGAAAGGGGCGACTTTAAGGCATTTCAGTCGTAGCCGTCAATTTGCTACTGCAGGTTTTGTCGTTCTATTTCCCACTTTCTGCGAATACCTGAAGCCGTGTATGCGTTTGCTCAGCACCTCGAGCCCCATAGATCGGCAACGTAAGGTCCACGACTTTTAGTCACTTTGTCTTTCCTGCCCCAGTCTCATATCCTCGTACACGAGCACAAGCTGCAATGTCGCCGACTCGGTCTCATTCACATGCATTGTAAACTCGGCACATTCGTCGATCAAGAGTGGAAATCTGCAGCTTGAGCTTAATCCAAATTTACACAATCGTTCAAGCGCTTTCGTCCTGTCTCTTAATTATCACTTGCAGCAAGAGAAGCCTCCCGTTCAAGCACCGATCACGATTGTCCGGAAAATCATGTCCCTAACAACTTCCTACCACTACATCGTGTCCTGTCGACAGCACTGCAGGTGGAGGAAAGAAGCCCTAACTTAATGTCACGTACACAACCAGGATCCTCCTCTCTAGGGCGATGGGCACAACTCACTTGGTGTTGTATGCAATCGAGGTTTTATCCATCCACTGTCCGAGGTTTTTCCCTCTCTCTTGGCCTCGATCGCCGCCACTCGGAAGAAGGCACTGACTTGGAGAGAGCGAGCGAGCGAGCAGCTGGTACCACAGAGAAGAGAGAGAGAGAGAGGGGGCAGACGGAGCAGCAGCATGAGTCGCGAGGAGCGGAAAATGGCGCAGATCATTGCGAGCATCGAGCGCATGGAGCAGGAGGCGCGCGCGTCGGGAGACGAGGCGACGCGCGTGCAGGAGCAGCCGGAGTGGGTCAAGCAGGGAGCTCGTGGGAAGAAGGGGAGGCAGCGAGGGCGTGCGCTGAGTGTCAAGGTCAAGACGGCGGAGAAGAAGGGCAAGAATGGGGCTGGCGCGGATGCGGGGGGAGCAGAAGGGGCGACACGGCCGTGTATCGAGTGCAAGTTGACGCCCAAGAAGCGCTGGATCCAGCTCTGGAGTGCTCAGCAGGACAGGAGAGAAGACATGAGTAGGAACTTGGAGGGTGTGGACTGCAGAGCTGGGGAGGACGCAGATGCGACTGCTGCGTCGGCAGAGAGTGACGTGTTGGTTGCGGAGCGCTCTTCGATGGAGACTCTTGATGCTGAGACAAAGGAGAGTCGAGAGAGGGACGAAGAGATTGTGGAGGTGCCGACGTCGGCAGTTGATGCGGTTGCTTTGACTTGCAGAGGAGAAGAAGAATCAGCGTTTGATGTGACATCGATGGATGCGACAAAGTGCAAATCACAAGTAGTATCAGTAGCTGTGCCTGTGGAGACAGAGGTGTCTGTGGTTGAGAGAGATGACGTGGCTGCTGTCGCTGACTCGACGTTGTCGGCATTGCGGGTGAAGACTCCGATCAACAACGAGTCATCGCACTTGTCTCCTCCGCTGGAAAGGAGCAGTAGTCCCGCAGTCGCAGCCTCAATCAGTCCATCGGCTAAGGTGATGGACAGTGATGTAACAAATAGTAGTAACATGGCAGCTGCAGCAGCAACAGCTGCAGCAGAACTGGAACGACGCGTTGGGACGGATCAGGAGGAGGGAGTTCCTGAACAGAAAATGGCTGCACCGAGTTTAGAGAGCAGCAGCGCGTGTGAAGATGATGACAGCTATCGCAGCGAAGTGTCATTCGATTGTGGAAGGAAACGCAGCTTGGACCAGAGCGAGTCACTTGTATCCGACGAGGCAAAGCGGCGAGCAGAGCGGAGAAGGAAGCGGAAGTCAAATTGGGATGTTGGCGATCCCCGTAAAGGAGGAAGCCCTGTTGCAGATCTGCCAGCCAGTGCCGCTGCGGCAGCAGCCAACCAGCAGTCATTTGGCAAGTATCCTTCCACCGGGCCATCTTGGCGACATATCCCGAGTACGATAGACGTGAAGCCACCACCGCCGCCGCACCCTCAGAGCATGACGATAGACATGAAGCCGGCTTTCCAGAGTGGCCACCGCCCTTCGACTTTCTTCAACAAAGTTCCAAGTGCCGGGAGAAGACGAGGGTTTTACCATACACCGGATCGTTCCCGAAGTGCTGGACGTTCGTCAATGCGTTTCAGCTATGGGAACAGCGGCAGCAACTACCGGTGATCGACAGTGTCGACATGGGTAGTGAAGAGACTGACTCTACTCGCCATCGAGATGGAACGGCTATTATATATGAAATGTGACCATAATGTGCAGAAGTGAAGCCTCGTCGGAGCTGGTGGGGCGTTTGATTTACATGGTAGTACACGTGGATGTATCACGTGGCGTTCGTTTGGGTGCAAACTGGACTTGTCGCGCACACTAATATAGGATGGGTGCGCTGCTTGCTACGACTCGTATAGATAGCGCTGCAAGATTCCGGTAAATTGACGATCCATTCAGACGTCGCGAGAGCATGTACCACAAAGGATTTTTCACCGTGCACCTACCCCTCTTGCTGGAACCTTCTCGAGGACCGGCTGTTTATCCTCGGTGGAAAGGCCGCAAGTGTCGCCATACTTGTGCTCATTAACAGGTGACACGCGTGGTCGTGTTTATCAAATAGAGCCAGTCGGATCATTCCCGATTGCACTGATGGAGGTGATCAATGCTGACATCGACTGACTGCTGTGCTTCAAGCTATCGATCTGAGTCTGACGACGACTCGGCAATCTGGTCAACAACTGAATGTTCTTGTCTCCTTTTGACTGCACAAAACGCGTGAAAGGTTTTGTAGCATGCGATGCAGAACGCAGTATCAGTGGCATCGCGGGCTGCGGAACAGTTGCAAGTCAAGTCCCATGTGCTTGATGTGCACGTCGATTGGCGTTTTACATTCTACAGAAACACGACTTCGACCATGTTAGTGAATGGCGTCGATGGCAACAGCAATTATAGATCAAAGTTCTGCGCTTTTCAATGCAGTATGCTGGTGTCTCTTTGGTTTTTACTGCAGCAGCTAAGAACATGACATGTACCTTCACAATGGACTTGTAAGCGATTGAAGCGAGGAGCTACGTCTCACGATGAAAGAATAGAAGCTGCATAGGACGAAAGATGACTGCTGGTACTGTACCATCTAGCAGCAATATATACATCTTGTGTATCACATGGTCCGCTCACACTTGTGTGAGACCGATGAGCACATCACAAGCTGCTTCGATCGGCAAACTACTAGTGCTATCGTACCTGCAATGCAATGCAATACTGGCAACGCAAACAACAAACTCCGTATCCAGCGTCCGTGGGAGTGGTGCTTGCATCTTTTCTTGTGAGGCTAGACGTTCACGAAGTATATGTTTGTCATGCGTTGCATGCAGGTGTCGCAGCCCACACACGCATCCGGGATAAATGGCGATGAGACGAAGCATGATCAATCATCAGTCCATGCGCCGAGCATCATATGTGTCTTGTTTCAAATTACTGCGAGCTGTGAGACGAAGCTCCTGTCTCAAGACGAGACAGGCTACGGCACATGCTGCACCGTTTATCGAAGCAAGTATTCGTGTACGTGCATTGCGCACACTTCCAAGAACTCTGCCGTCGACGTTGGCGAGTAAGCATCCTCCAAGGCGCCAACGTTTTCGAGTTGACCGCGTGAGCACGTGTTGGATCCCGGCTGCGGGTGTGTAATGCAACTGACGAGTTCGTCGTGTCGAGCTTAAGCTGAAGCAGTGGCTTGCATCTTTCCACCGGTCGTCGCCGTCGCCTTTTTGTCGGACGAGGGCTATGCGAGGCACTGCGGAGAAAGTACGTTCTCGTCGGTTCTTTCATCTCCGAGTGCACCGGAGTGCCACATGGTGATGCAGCTTCAGCACGAGTCGAGCAAGTGCCTCGCTGGTTCTGTCGCGTATCTTCTGCATGGCTGGAATCTGCTTGAGACGCCACGAAAAAGTGGGTCAGCTTCGATTGCTTCTCGTCAGATGCAAAAGTCACAGTCGACCGCGTCCTAGCACGCTTCGCGCCCACTGCTGTCGTCACGTTTGAGCCGTTTGTCCTTTTGGGTTCACAGCTTTTCTCGGTCAACAAGCGCTCAAATGACCTCGAAGACGACGATTTCGACGACGTGGCAGCCAACGCAGCTGTAAACTCCAGATCGTGCTGCAGAAACTCGAGCGTCTGCTCCAGAGCACGTTGGTCTTCAACGTCGCGTAAATGCAATGGACGGTCGTAGAAAGCCTGGAGCTCTCTAGTCGTCTCACGATCCGTTATAGAAACGCCGTCCGTTATAGAAACAGCGTCATTTCTAACACTGTGCAGCGGCGGTGCATCTTCGTCGAAAAAATCCACCAAGGGCTCCCGCTCGTCCTTGTTCGACTCCCGTCTTAGAAACGGACACGTGGCCTGAATCGCCGTCCACAAGGTATCGTCGACTTTGTACTGTTTCGTGCGAGCAAAGCCCACGACGCGACGTCTACAGAAGCCACAATTGACGCTCGTGAGTTCCAAAGCCCGCTTGAAACACTCGAGACTGTGGCAAAACAAGGTGTACCACATTGTCAAAACACGGTCTACTACGGTTTTTTACACGGATAGAAACGTTGATAGAAACCGCACCACAAATGGCGCTGGCAGCACGGCAGCTGAATCGGGCGCCGCAGCACGTCGAGACACAGCGGACACTGGAAGCGTATTGGAATCGTTACTGACATTGCGGGGGTCGCAGGGAGCACCATCGTAGGCGTCGTAGCGCGCGACCGCGTGAGCGCCATCGTATGCGGCGAAGCAGTTTCTAAACCGGCACGACCGTAACAAGTAGGTGAGGGGTCGAAAGTAGCGAGGTGGAATTGTGTTTTGATCGTAGTAAGCATGGTATTTAAGCACAGAAACTGGCTGTAATGTATACCTAACCAAATAGCGCTTCCGGGCTCGCTCTGCGAAAATGGCCTGAAAAACACATGGTGCGGTAGCAAGCATTTCGATCTTAGACGTACCACCTCTTGCTTTTAGAAACGTGCCACCGCAGTTTCTAAGCTCGCCATTCTGTCCTCCGGTTTTGTCACGACTTTCACCGCCGCAGCTTCGCCAAACCGTTCGTTTGTAAAAAAGCGAACGATGCTGCGTCAACAGTATATGTCAATAGTGACTCGAGCGCTGCCTGGACTCCAGTCATCCCGCCCGCGTGGTGCACCTCTGTCCCCGCTCCGTCTCCTCCATCATGATCAAGCCGTGCGGACGCTGTTTTGTCGTGGTCTTTTGTTGCAGGATTCAGCGTCCAGAACTGCTGGACAAGAAAGTGTCTCTAATGACATATCTGCACCCATGTCCAGCTCACCTCCTCCATCCATTTCTGACCAGCGAGAAACAGTCGTGGCCCGTCTCAAGACGCAATGCAATGCGCTGTACGAAGACAACGAGGCGTTCGTGGCACCTGCGCACGCGCTTTCCCGCTGGTTTCAAGCCGTGGCCGCGCTCCAGAGCCAGTCCAAGTCGCTCGAAGTGGATCAGGAGGTTGAACGCGCCTACGAAAGCGCTGTAGCCATCGCCTCGAAGCAGCGACAAGTGGAATTGGCGTCTCAATTGACGCAGCAGATGCAGCAACTGGGATACCGACCGACCGAGCGGACGCACGAGATGCTTGTTCGAAACGTGGCGCTAAAGCTGCGGCGTGGACCTCATGAGACGTCCGTTGGTGACTTGCGGGAACTACTGAAGGACGTACGGGACGATATGTGGGAGCGCGAGATCATGAGCATTGTCGAGCGAGAAGCGCGGCCGTTGCAGCTCAAGACCGAGCGAGAGTTTGCGCTCTTTCATGAGCGACTGATTCGAGGCGTGGAAGCGCAGCTGAACGAGTACGAGCGAACGGCTGAACGTGATGGAGATCAGAAGACGGGCGGCAAGGGACAGGTGTTGAGTTCAGGGCCGTACAATGAAGCGCTGCGTGTATACGCAGACAATGGCGTCAAGTTTAATCGCATGTTGCAGCTCATGGTGGCACGGAGTATTGCAGTGGATATCGAGACGTACGGCGCACTGCTACTAGGTGCACGTTGGAACGAGATTCCAGCGACGTTGAGTCAATTGCTGCAGTCGAAGCTGGTTGAAGAGCTCACTGTGTCGACTAGTGCTTCGGCTAGTGAATACGTGCGCGTGCTTTGGGTGAACGCCATGAAGGCCATCGTGTACTCGAGCACAGAGCGCTTCAATTCTTTGTCGGCCAGTGTGTACAAACGAGACATCGACCACTTGCGGAAGGTGTTCATGTTTGTCGATAAGCAGCTTTCGAACGCGTTTGCCGCGGTCCAATTCGTGACAACGATGCAGTATGACGAAGTCTATACGATGCGTGCTAAGGCTGCCGCTGCGTGCGGGCTCATAGCACCTGTAAAGCGGATTCTCGACGAGTACGTTCAGCACGCACCCTTTGGTGAAGATGGCAAGAAGCGTGTGTTATCGAAAGAACCATTCTTGATGGCGCTGGAGATCTTTCCGTGGTCTCTGATGGAAGTTCTGATGTTATCGCGTCAAGACGCTTTGGCCCGTGCAGAAAGTCACGATGTGTCCACGTCCCCGCGTGTGTTGGAAATGCGACACATGTATGAGCGCGTCATGCACAAGCTGGACACAGCTCGTAAGACTATCGACAAAATTGAACAACAAATTAACGCAAACGACGCCAAGTTGAGTGACGATGAGCTGCGTAGGTTGCTGGGTTGGCAGAATCTGGCAAATGAGACTGTGGGACGGGAATCTCAAAGAGCCACGACTCTCGAGCGACGACTTGACAATGCACGTGTTCTCAAAGCAAACCAACTGCTGATCAAAGAACACTTGGAGCGTGCCGATAGGACGGTGGCTTTTGTGCTGGATAAACTGCTGGAGGCAGGTTTCAATGCGGAAACTGATTTAGATGTGAGCATCAAGCTCATGGAACAGTTCATGAACTCTGCTCGACGCTTGGACAAGCGTCTTGCCCAGCGACAGAAGCACGTGAGCCCTCATATGATGCGTCGTGTCTTTAGTCAGGTCAATTTGGTCTCCAGTGCTGTGCGATCTGGCGGATTGGATGTGCAGGATGCGGAGACTCGTGAGAAATTGGTCAAGTTTTTCGAGTATGCTGTGTGTACTGCCGTTCGGTTCTGGTGCGAAGAGGAGACAGAAGCTCTCGTGCGCCAGCAGCAACGATTGCTCGGCACAAGTCAGCTAGCACCTCGTGAGTACGACCAGCTCATCTTTCAAAGCGTGACAAATCTGGATGTGCGCAGGGCTCACTCATTATTGCAAGAAATGCACAATGCGGGCATGAAGCCGTCGAGCGAAGCGATCCATCGCATTGCACTTGGGCTACTGCATCGACGCAATGTATCGTCGACTGACGAATTCGACATGTCAGGCACCGAAGAAGATGGCGAAGACGACACAGGGATGCAGGACGAAGCTAATGAAAATTGCGCAGACGAAGCCGACGCCGTGATCCAGGAGAACGTTGATGAGGAAATTTGTGGCGAAGACATTGCTGCAACAACAGAGACGGTGCTGCACTCGGAGCTTTCGGATTTACTAAACGTCTCAGATCGGGACGCTATCGAGAATGAACTTGAGCCCCGCGAAGGTTTGAAGTTGGATGGAGACGATGCGGACAACCTTAGTGCTGAAAGCGCTGCTACAGCAAGGACGCTGTTGCTGGGCTCGGATGCGCCTGTAACCATTGAGGATCTCGTTGGCTTTCTACAGGACTGGTATAACTTGTACGGGGTGAAGCCTTTCGGCAAGACAGTGGTTCCTGTAATGGCTCAATTGTTGGACGCCAGCAAGTTTTCAGAGTTTCGCCGATTGTTGCAGATTTTAGAATCCATGGACGGAGGATTTACTCCAGCTACGGAGCTCTGGCTCGAAAAGCGTCTCAGCCAGCTAGGCGGCAAGACGCTGGATGACTTTCGACTGAAAAACAAGTGACAAGTCGAAGTTAGCATCTTGTTTCGATAGACTTCGGTATTTTGCAGTGTTTAAAACAAGTGAATGGCAAAGCAAACAATCCCGTTCTTGGTGCAGACATCGCCATTCGCACAGCAAATGCAGCTTACAATGTTGTCCGAGCATCCGTCCACGTAGCCCGAATGAGTTACATTTCAATCTGGTCCAGCGATGCCGACAAGAACGTCCCTAGCGACTCCACCTGCCCGCACAGCCCCATCATTTCCAAATTTTAGAATACCAAGCAAAAGTGTCTCCAAAAAGAGGTCAATGACACCAGTAAACTCAAGTGTCCATCACCTTAGCCTTGAGCAGTCCCGCCGGTGCATCCGTGCCTGAATATGCGCAGAGCAAAAACGTTTTACCCGCCAATGTCATAGCCAACCGACCATGCTGCATTCACATACATTCGAAAACAATAAATACCAAATAACGCATAATCCCGATATGATATAGCACCAGGTCAGTGTCCAGAGACGTCATAACGACAGCATATGAGCCTCAGAACGTCAGATGCCACGCCCACCTCGAGTTCCATAAGTATCGTGCGTAACTCTCCTGCGGGATTCGCTTCTTCCCTCCCAGCGTGCACATACTCGCCCCAAGTATGGGACGCAATCGCTCCGACCACTTTATGATCGACTGCATCTTTTTCACCCGCAGATCCCACTAATGCCCCGTCTATTGTCATTAATCTGGATGCATAAAATACCACAAAAAAACACTGATTTAAGTTAACAACAACAGGTCGAGTCGCACGTGACGATATGACCGCGTTGGTAGAGAAGGAGCACGAGCATGTCGTTCTTCTCTCCACAGCATCTACGAGGCGTCACGAATAGAAGTGAAACAGATGGAGTGAGAGCACGCACATGCAAGCCGTGATCTCATTGTCGACGATCTGCCCCAGCACCTCGGGCAAGACCTTTGCACGCAGCATGTGTCAGTGCTTGTGTTATGACTGCAGAAATAACACTACTGCACTGCTATGATTTGGCGATAATCCAAGAGATATGACGTAAAAGTCGTTCATACAAGAGGGTGGTAAAAGTCGTTTCTTACAAGAGGGTGGTATGACATTTTATTTATGGATCGATCCTACGACCGAATGCTGCTAAAAATGAGTAGATAATAGCGGAGGGGTGTTTTATTGAGGGGGTGGGGTGAATTAGGACTTGCATCGCGGTAGACGAGATAAAAATTAGCAGCTATGCAAAAACAACAGCTTAAACCCTGCTGTCAATCGCGACTTGATGTTTTCAGAAGGTGTTGATATTGCACGTCCGTCGCTGCATAGTAAGCAATGACCCACTAGGGTGTTCGCCAAGTAAAGCAAAGGGCGGTGGAGCCAGATGGTCTCCAGGAAGGATGGGTGCGTTGGCGAGTAATGGATGTGTCACTACTACAGATAATCAGCATCGTAGGTTGCTTCAGTAAAGCCTGCCATACTCTAATGAAGTGGCTGTGATGTGCGGTAACAATTGCATGTAAGTAGTACTTCAAGTTGGCATCCACGCAGCAGATCTTTAGATTTAACAAGCTACTGACTGTACACTCAGATCGGAAAAAACTCGAACAGAGTGGGCAGGTAGTCAGAGTAGGTAGGTAGACTGCACGCAACTTGTTCGGGCGCTTAGTAGCTGCAATCCACTAAGCTGGGGAGCGAAGGGGCGAGCAAATACTCCAACTAACTACAGGCTGTTGATGCTCTAAAGCAATTATTCTCCTAGCTGATGTTGTTGATGATTCGAAGAGACGATCGTGAGAAAAGGTGGACAAAGCGTGATCCTGCTCAGTAACGCCTTCAACCGTAAAATGCGGTCTACGACTTTCAATTTTTTAACTCAATACATTAAATGAGCTTAAATAGCCATTGATAGAAAACTGTGGCCATAAGCTCTTAAGATTTTGTTATATTTAGTACCTTAGATTGAACCCACTTCACGCTTACTGTTTGCGAAAGGAGTAAGACTTTCGCTGCCCCTGTGTCTAGCATATCGTTATCGTCCCTCTGTCCGCTCTTGATTCCTTTTTGATCCACTCACGTGCGGGTATTGTCGCTTGTGTGAACATTTCACACAACGTAGTCGAAAGTAGTTTCCTACCCAAAGATTGACACATAGGACAGAAGAGCAAGCTCTGGAGCTCGCACATTTACAAGTAGTAAGTAATCCAGCCCGAAAAAATGAATCAGGTTCTGTGCATTCAAGTACCTTGCACCTAGTCATTGATATCTCCACCCGTCGCAATAACACGTATTAGCAATGAATAGGATATAAATACTGCATCGCACTTAATACGACATGTAGGGTGCATCTAGTGCTACCCTCAGACGCAACACGTGAAAAACGAGATTGCACTTAGTGCGACAGGTACAATATACTTGGTGTTATTTATATACAAAGGGTGGGACAAACTACATCGCACTGAATAAGGCGTGTAAGGCACCCTGACACTTTTCACATACAACGATGAAAAAGTCTAAATTCAGTACAACGCGTAGGGTACATAGCGTTCTTTACAGACGGACGTACAGACCGACAAACAAAAAGACAGACAGACAAAAAATTAAGATCTGAAAAGTTTGGCATCCACCTTGCGCAAATTCACTAATGGCTTCACCCTTTGGGCTCGCAATAATCACACTTGCATAAGCACCTCTGAATTACAGGTCGTTGCAAATTACAAGTAATAGCCGTCGATTAGAATGCAAGAAAATCACGTGCAAGGTACTGGTGGCATAAAGTAAAATTTCATTGATTTCAGGATTATATCAATCAAAGTATCTAGTTTTGCACACTAATTTACTCGAATATAGTCGGATGTCAGCAAAATTATGTTTTTCACGGCTTCAGAAGAGAGAATGCACTTGCACTAGATGTGCGTGTTCAATCGTGTTACCTGTCTTACCACGTCGTTCATTAACGAGGCTTATTCGGGGCAGTGACATCGACACTGAGGCATCACCCTTCTAAGACTTTGTAATTATCTCATGCCTTCAAGTTTCGAACACTCCAGACAACTCTTGCGCGGTGCTGGTACAAATTTTGATGAGACGAGTGCAACATGACAATAGTAATTTTCTGCTCAAATCTGTTGTCGAAGAAGTGACTCGGTCAGAGGATAGAAACCTAACGGTACGTTTTGTCGATCAGCAATACGCGAAGGGGCTATTACTAATGCGCGGCTACACGATTAGAATGCGCAATGTGCGATTACTAATGCGCAATTTTACGATCAGTAATGGGCGAAGTGGTGATCAACAAGGCACGACTGTACGAATAGTCATGCGCAAATTGGTGATCATCAAGGAGCGACTGTACGATTAGTAATGCACGACATACCGATTGCGAATGTGGAGTTGAAAATTCTGTAGGCTTAGAGTAGCACAAGATTTTGCAAACAAGGACCTAAATACACTCACTTTGCGTTTTACCGTCTAGCTCTCAACTGCATTTGCTTTTAGGTTATGAGCTCAAGCTCCGTTTCCTCAAAGTAGACTTCAACTAAGCCTTCGTCATTAACGCCGCCTCAACCCCGACCGCCCGCATCAACAAGTTGCAAGGGGTCAGCTTTCACGCATGGAAGTTTAAGATGTAGATGATTCTGGAAGAGCGCGATCTGTGGGAAGTCACAAGTAGAGAGGTCAAGCTGGAGAACTGCACAAACGCGATCGATCAATCGACGTTCAAGGGAAAGTAGCGCAAAGCGCTTGCGATCATCTGTCTTGCGATGGAAGATTCTCAGCCGCCGCTGGTCCGTTCGGTGATTGGGGCGTACGATGCATGGTCAAGACTGGAAGAGAACTACGAGAAGAAGAGTCTGGCGAACAAGCTCTTCCTTCGCCGACTCTTTTTGACAATGATGTATGAAGGTAATGATGTAATGGAGAATACCAACAAGCTCAAGACTCTGGCGGATCAGCTCGATGCGGTTGGCTCTCCGATCAGCGAGGCAGACTTGATGACCACGCTTCTTGGTAGCCTAAGGGAGTCATAACAGTCCTGATCATGGCGTTGAAGACGTGTGCTGAATCGCCGTCGTTGAAATTAGTGACGTCTCGGCTGATGCATGAATACATGAAGCGCAAGAAACGAGGTGGTAGCGTCGACAGAGCCGCGCACGGTCATGGTCAAGCGCTTTTGAGAAGCGATCTCAGCAAGAAAAAAGGAGAAAATACTTTGCAGAAGGCCAGTGAGTTTCACTTGTGCATTCATCAAGGACACCGCATTAACAAGTTACGTTGAGGATACGCGATAATGCGGAATTGAAGAGGCTGCGAAGAGAAAGCGCCGTGCAGGTTGGAGAAGAATCTGGTGACTACCTGTTTTAGGTACTTGAGAATTAAATAAAGCTGAGTAAAGAGTTGCTGTTCGACTGGGGTGCGACTCAGCAAATGATTTAATCGATTGAATGAAGAAATACCAGAAGATCTAGCCAGTGGATGTGCATTTGGCGGATGACGGCATGGTACAAGCAGTGTTAAATGAAGACACCGTCATGTCAAAAAGGACCTAAATACATTTACTTTGCATTGACCTTCTAGCGCTCAATTGCATTGGCCTTTACAATCACCTTCAAGCGGAGAAAACAATCGATATCTCTCTCAAAGTCTGGTGTCTAAAGATAAAGAGTTAGGTCCCCTCCACAGTGTAAAGTGGTCAAAAACCGACGGTGAATGGCCTTTTACCACAAAATTGGAGGATACACCTCGATCGTCTGTGCCAAGATTAGGTCTTTGTGTATTCCCTCAATCGTAAAAGTCCAAGGGTACCCTCTTCTTTGTGTGACACCGACTACCAATTATATCCAAAAAATGAAAGCCGACGATGATTTTCGAGATTTTTATTAAACAGGCTACATACACAATGTCACAACCGGTACAAGAGCACTCTTGGCAACACCAGAACTCTTTAAGCGACTTTAGTGATGTACCGTGTGAAAGCAAAGCAGTTTACATTTGTAAAACATACTGTACAGTTGTACCTCTTGATGCGGATTCTGTCTACAGCAGAATCCGCAAATTCATATCCGTATAAGTCCACGAAAGCAGCTAATATGATGCCGTTCATTCACCACGAACTCTTCTGAAATGATTCTCATGCTTCAGGCGTACGTTTTGTCTGCACCTCATATCAGTATCCACTATCATCTAAACTAAATGTTAGCAATGTCTAGAAGGCTCTTAAAATGTTCGATGCTGTTCGATGCCGTCCAGCCGACCAGATTGAACGGTAGTTCTTGGACGGAGTTAAAATCTTATACAACGACTAAACAAGTGTTTTCAAAGTGTAGCCAACGACAACAATGCAGATATGCTACACGAAGCGTGACTTGAAGTATAGTACATTACATGTATAAAATCAATTTCAACCAAATAGTATCATGTTAGCTATAATTTACCAAGCGACTATGCCAACTACAATTCGCGCTGCGGTGACATGACATCGAGGTAAGCTTGCTATTCGTGGATAATCACATCGATAGGCCGTCACACGCTCTAGTCCTTGATGCTCGATATTTTACGTTGCTTTTTCAAATTATGAGGAAGTCAAGAGTTTCAACCCTTTCTCCTCGCTTCGACTATCAATTTACATGCGGTCCATTTTCTCATAAAGAGATCGTTCTTTTTGTTCTCAAGCATGGGGGCCAGCAGCTTGACCAGACTCGTGTCAGGCTGTTTCAAAGGTCCCATCCGATAACACCTTTTAATGTGTTCGTCCAGCACTTTCAGTAGCGTGTCCCTGCGCAACATGTACAAATAAGCGTTTAACAAAATGGTCTTGAATTCTTCTCAGGGAAGGCCAGAACCACAGATCGATGTACGCAACTAAGTATCAATGAACTCGGTCTCTTCGAGTAAATTGTGTGGGGCTTGGATTGCCGCACGCAAAAAATCTTGTGCCTACCACTGTAGTTGCTAAACATAACATCATTGTACCTTTCATCACCTATATCTTCTTTAAACCGATAACGACAGTATGCCTTCAGCACTTGGTCAGATGGACTACCAAGATTAAATATCGCAGCATAGTATCGTCCGAGGTTTAAAGCGCTGGACAAATGTGTCTTTCATCGACATGGTTCATTGTCCACTAAATCACCAATCAATCAAAAAGCATTTTCCCTAGCTCGCTCACCTTCATTCGTTCATCATCTTTCAGTACCATTAGTGATGTTGCAACGTGAGGTGTCTCCATACGCACCAAGGATGATTAGGATCAGCGCTTTCCTATTGTTCGCAGAGAATTCTTATGCAGCCTACAACATGCTCGAATTTGCTTGTATCCGCATATACGATTCTAATGCGCTTCTACCTTTTTTCTTTTAAAAGTCCATCAGATCCTTGATGTAGTGCAGCTACGAATGTCTTAGTCATAGGAAGACTTACAACTCTAGAGTCATCTAGTTCTCAGTAACTAAGTTTTTAATTATTTAAATAGTCTCTATCTCTTCGAAACTATTAACAAAGACTCAGAGGTCTTTACGCTCGTAGGGCTTCTAGCTTTATTTCTAGGGACTACAAACAATTCTAAAAAATTGCTCGCACGAGGTGTTCTAGAGTCTACTCCACAAGATGAACCTAACTCTCTGTGATCTGCCAACATCAAAAGTAGATGTGTGGCAACAAACGATCAAAAGTGGAACTGAACTTTTGTATTTCTTAGTTTTATCGGTAGTAAACTTCATTCAACTACGTAGTGCAAAGGTTAAACGAATGCGCATAGTAATGTTCAGTCCGTTATGGATTGGTGGATGCTACATCAACCATTCATCAAAGGATGAATGAGGGTTCTCAAACAGATCAAACACACATTAAACTAGAGATAGTGCATCGCACATACGAGATATATCCCTTAAAACAAAAACAGACGTGTGACCCCGTTACGCTTGTATAGCTTTATCCACAGCTCGTTATTTTCCGCACGTTCATCACCTAGCAGTTCCATTACCACCCTAACATGTAAGTCTCCCCAAAAATACAGGGAGAACCGGGATCAGCGACCTCTCCTTTCCGGAGTAGATTTTGTGCAGCTTCATCACCTCCGTACTCTTCAAAATATTTGCGTTTAGCTCTGGCCCTGAGGGTTTGTTTTGAAACCTTGCGAAAGCGTCAATGAATGCAAGTTCTTTACACGGAGGCGCAAAGGGTTTCGCAGACTGTCCAATCGGTCTACTTCACTTCTCTAACTTCACTGATAGCGTCTTGATAACACCTCAGCAATTTTATGAGAGTGATAATATTGATGCCATGTGATGATGAAGAGACACCATCTAATTCTTGTAATTTAGACTTCTTAGTAGTCGAAGATTTGAACAAGCTGTTGCTGCAAGGCAGGAAGGCAGAAGCAGCAATGAGTGAGGGAGCGGAGACACGCATGATGACAAGTCTTGAGTCGGCTAGCGATAAAATTGCAAAGTAACTATTGACTGGAGCTAAGCGATCTTTTCCTATAATGAGCAGTTCCTGCAGGAGAGCTGTTATATGAATTTGACTCTTTCTTACACTGCATTTGTTTTTCAACTCAGGTTTAATTCCATGTGCAAAATACGTAGAGTACGTCCCTTTCAGGGCTCGTTTACTCTAAAACATCGTAGTAAAATGAGCCTAACATGTTTATACATGCTTCGGACGTTACTGCGGTAAACATGTGTAACTCGACGTATGAACTTTTTTACTTGGCGATGACTAGTTTTGCAAAAGAACGACGATATCCAAAATTTTATAGACTTAGGATCTGTTGTAGAGGTAGCCAGCGATCACAGAAGTGATAGATCTGTCGAATGCAATTTACGTGTCGATTTTTTGCTCGTCGAAATATTGTGCGTAAGCGGTCGATGGTTGAAGAAGGCCTCGGCGAGCACGCCCATGACAAGCATTTACACGTGGGGGTAAAGTAGCGGATAGAACTTCATGGTGTGGGAGAAGAAAAGCGGAAGATTTGCTAAGGGTAACTCAGCCAGTCGTGGTATGGTATATACGCTTCAGCACTAGAACCAATTAAAAATTGAGTAGATTAAGCAAGTTATTAGTAGTTGACGAATAGTACGAATAAAAGAAGCAATGGTTAGCGAGGAAGGTTAGAGAAACAACGTTCATAAACAAATGTAGAAGCGACGACGGATTGACACTGATCGATTGATAATTTGCGGACGGTAGACGAACTTCTACTGCGAAGGGTAAACAAATGTCTGGTCATCGAGCTTATGGTTTTCGTAAAATAAAGTATAAACGGGACGTGCTTCTTCTTCCGATAGCAAAAGCACAGGAGAGGCAAAGCGTAAATATGACTATTTGTTCCGCCTATCTTTCGTGGTCGCGACAGAACTATGCGTTTTCTTCTTCTTCCTGCTCTTGCCTTGGCTCTTACAGCTGGAGATTGAAAATTTAGTCGCAACTCTAGTATCGATTGGCTCGGATGGATGTTCGTGGCGCATTGCTTTAGCACGTTAAGGTTCTGGGCTAAATCCAGTATTTTCATTTTGATTTAAAAGGTACGCGCTTTTACTAGCACTTTATATCCCTAGAGCATGTATTCTTTCGCACACAGGACCTTGTTCCAACTGTACACGAAATCTTCACTTTGTACAAGTGGTTTTATCTCTGTTTGCTTACAAACTTTATCACAAGCATCTTCCATAATGACTTAAGTACGGATTGTCACGGCATTTGAAGTGCATCTATCAGATCTCATAATTCGTACAACGTTTGACGTACCTTATACCTTTACGTGAATGGATTATGGGATCGATTTACATGCACTTCTCGAATCAGAAACATCTTAGTACCCGCAAATGCTTTCGTCTAGCATTGCTACGAATGTCGTCACGACACGAAGAGAAATGGTAATGGCAAATCGATTTGAAAGTGTTTGCTTTGTAAACGCTATGTAGCTATAATTTTGTATTTCTTTGGCATCAGCAGGTACAAAGACTAACTACAATTGTCTTGATGGTGTCAGGAACTTCGGGATGAATCAGGGCGATTTCGTGGAATTTCAAAGGAATGTGATGCTTCATGATACAGTCATGGGCAGGGCTAAATATGGTAGTTTGTTAGCGTACGGAAAGGTCCTCACGATGTAACGGGAAACTGGAGCAACACACTGGACATCCAGCGTAAAGCTACTCTCATCGACAGCAGTGTGAGTGGTGCCTCGCTACCTCTGTAAATTACGTAGAGTAAGGGAAAATGTAGTGGAGTGAGATTTTTTCGTCAAAAAGCGATCCTGACTCTCCACTTGCGCCCGGACGACCGACAAACAAAGGAGGCACTCCGTACCGTGTGTCTTCTCTTGTTCCTTCTCACCTTGTGTACCCTTTCGGCGAGCGGTTGCACCCTTCTTGGTGGCTTGAGAATAATTTCTGTCTTGACCGAGCTGGGGATAGGTGGGGTGTGGTCGCGTTGGAATAGTTATCACGACCTACGAGTACTTGTGGCGCTCTCTTAGAGTCACCTGAACTCCCTTGAGGTTGCCTTGACCGAATGCGGATACTCGATCCCCTTTTTCTTCTGACCACTTGAGCCGCCTGAAGACCTTGCCATGAATGCTAACCGCATCCGATCTCGGGCTAGCTTGAATGAGTATCCTTGTCCCAATCCAAGCAATCTAGGGACAAATCTTGAGCACACTCTTGAACAGTAAACCTTCAACGTCGGGTGGACACTAGTATTCCAGCCCGGAGGGATGCTGACGCGTGTCTTTTGCAGGAAATCAATACTCCTCATTATTATTATATTAGGGACTACAAAGACGGCTGTAATTCTCAATATCTTAGTTTCCGTTACGTCGTTCGCCCCCTGCCACCCAATCCCTGTGCTTAATGTGACCCACCTCAACTGCCAACATTACTGCTGGTCATCCGTAGTAACTACGACCACTGGTCATCCATATTGACCGTGACCGCTGATCATCCATAGTGACCATATCCGCCGGTGGTTTTTGAACATAATCGATGGTCACCATCTGTGACCGCGACGTTTCGCCTGTCAACTGTTCACCATACCGTTGAATTCTTATGGCGGTCAGTCCCAAAGCCAGTGTGACCGGTCTTATATGTGCCTACGATGGGAAAAGATGCGATTGGTCAGGATTTTACTGACCACTTTACCAAGAAAACAAGTAGAAAAACTGACTAGTTGCTGGTAAAAGTGAAATGTTTTAAAAATAGGAGGACCTAATCGTTACCCTATGTTTTGGTCATATCCGAAGTATGTTTATCTGCTAAAATGTATGCTTAAGGCTTGCTCACCCTCGTTGCGCGCGTTCTTTGTTGATTGTACCGCTAGAGCTGGCTAATATGATGACCCATATCATCTTATCGGTGAGTGTTTCTGTATATTGCTTCTTATGGTAATATCGACAAGCACAATCAACATTTACGATATTTTTGATTTAAAAATTAAGGGTTTATTACATGTAATAGACTCACCCTGTTACAAACGAGCGAACAATAAATTCTACGAGGAGCTTTTGTACAAGCTGCAGTGCATAAGCTGGGTGTTAATTTGATGGAGTGTATGTTGGAATATCATTTGCATTAAGTGTACATGAGCCGCCGCCGTGAAGAGACAGTGACTGATTTACTGCGAAGGGTCGCAGGAGCAAGACTGATTTACTGCGAAGGGTCGCCGTGTGCATGATCGAGGTCTCTTTTTAACTTTAATAATGCATTTTTTTATTCTACTCTGTTGTACACACGCGCAAATCTTGCTGTTTGCCAACAGGTTATGAGCTCAAATTTAAGGAATTGGTAAGAGATCGTGACGAAAACACGACAGCACCTAGTCCACGCAAGTCGAACGGTTCACGAAAGGGACCAACAAGGGGGATCAAGATGGAAGGGCGAGGCACAGCACAGGAGGGACATGACAAATGAAAAGAATGAAGATATAGCGCCGCCAGTGGACCAGGCGGCAGCTCTCACAAGAATGCTCTAGATGCTGGAGAAAATAGACAGCCGTAATGGTTGAATCGAGGCTCGTCAAAATGGGAGCAGCTGTTTTATAAGCGCTTCAAAGTCTCCTCCTTTACCACCGGGGGTCCCTCGCACAGCAACGCAAGGTCAAGGACCGGCCACGATTGGTCGTGCAATATCTGAACTTGGTGGAGGACTCACACTAAATAAGCTTGGTGACAGTGGATTTGGAGCAAAAAGTGTCTTCAAGGGTCGGGCAGAGAACACGCCTATTGGAAGACACTCGGTCTATAAATCTCCAAACATGGCACCACCAAGAACGATCAAGATTACCATGCTTATGATAAATAAGTTAACGGGAGAAGAGCAGTAGACAGGCCTCGGCACAGGATTCAAGCAGTGGGGGCATACATTCCTCGAGGCGGTCGAGATGGTCGAGATTCAGAGTCAACTTGCGTGGGGAGAACGCCTCAAAGTGAACAAGCTGGGAGAATACATGGCACCAAACAGTGTGGCTGCAGCGTATTTTCGATTCAACGTGAGGACATGTTGGACGGTCAACCCGACGTTGTACCACGCACTCGACCAGTTAGACCAAACGTTCAAGGTGAAGATCACGCACCAACAGGCCGCCGCAATGTTTGCGAGTGAAAAGGAAAAGTCGCGTTCCTGGAACCAGCATCTCTCATACCTGATCGCATTGTGTCAAGAAAGCGAGTCACACGAACGACTCGTCGTGGAGAATATCGTTAAGTACACTGCGCCGCACCTCAAAATTGCGATGATGGTGCGATACCAGCCGAGTCGTACGGACTACCTCACACACGCTTAAGAGCTCATCGCATTTGGGCGCGAGAGGTTGAGGACGATGTAAAAGTGGTTGAAAATTGACCAAGGGCATAGCCAGTGCAGTCGGTCATGGCAAAGTTTAAGGTCACTCTCATGGTGAAAATCGAAAGTGTTTTAAATTGCGCCAAGCAAGGGCATTTGGCGAGAAAATGCCACCAACCGAAGAAGGAAGATGGACGCGGGAAAGCTAAATTTGTATTGGCTGCATGCGAGAACCCGAAGCACCACCAAACAAGGGGATTCAGCACTTGGCTGCATTTTTGACGTCACAGAACGGAGATCATTAATGTGAGTGGTTGATATGGGGCAAGTAGACACCCTGTTCACGACCCTGACTTGCTCCACGATGCCACAGATTGTGATAAAAATGATGGACTCCTGTTGCCTGACGGAGGTGTACTTAAGGTGACTAAATGAGGATCTGAGGTTCTACACGGTACTGCTAATGGTATCAAGACCCAGATCACACTTACTGAGGTATATCAGGCACCTAAGTTGGCTAGGAACCTCATCTCTATGGGCAAGTTGTTTGAAAACGGGTGTTCATCAAATACGGAAGGCGATGTGACGTGCATGCAGCTAGGTGAAGATCCTCTCTTCGATTTACGAACTGAGTATGGAGCATTTGTGGCAGAATTGACTTTAAGTCTGTCGAACATGACACCAAAAGGACTGAATGAGATTGTGATGACGGCAGTTCAATATACAGGACCCAAAATTGATGTAAAGAAAGACTCGCTGCACCATTTTCATCTTCGTCTTGGACACATAGTTTACGATACCGTGGAGAGTATGGCCTAAGATCCTGATTACGGCATTGAGCTTACTGATTACGTGCGTGCAAACTGTCTCACGTGCGCTGAAGCGAAGAGCACTAGGACTAGCCCAAGAACGACTCGGGTGCACATGAACTAACGGACCGCATTCGGGGTGCGATCTGTAGTGATCTATAAGGACCGATCACCGCAAGAGACTGTCGTGAAAACCGATATTTGGTCGTGTTTATTGACTACAAGTCAAATTAAGTGCGCGTATTCGCGGCACGGCAGAAAAATGCTGCGGCTAAGATGCTTGAGCATTTTATAGCGTGGGTTGAAAACGAGTTACATTGCCACATCCACGTCTTGCGCACTGACGGCGGAGGAGAATATGAAGTGGTTAGTATCTTCTGCAAACAGAAAGGCGTTCGACGTCAAGTAACAGAAGCAGGTACTCCACAATATGACGGAAACTTAGCGCATGAGCCGCACCACCTTCAACATGGTACACTCAATGATTTTTGGTTCAGGTTTAGCGCTGACGTATGGTAGTGAGGCCGCAGAGAATGCTGCATACATGCTTAACCGGAATCCGACTCGAGAAAATTTAGGGCGTGCGTCGCCGATTGAAGTACTCACCGAGCGGGCACCGAGTTTGCAAGGTATCGTTGTGTTTGGGTCTCCGTGTATGGTTTGGCGGCATCCTAGAAAGTAGACACTGGCACGTCATGCAGAGCGAGCACTGATCCTGGGTATAAACGATGAAAAAAAGGGGTACAAGGTGTTGCTGCTCAAGGACAAAATCGTGACGACAACAAGACACATCACCAACATCGAAACACTTGATGGTACGGCGAATGAACATATTCAACATGCACTTAATGATGACGGAGGAAAACTAATGAACAAGTGCGAAAGGAAGGGAAGAGTAACCATCGAGCGGCAGAAGAAGAAAATTGTGCAAAGCCGAATGAGCCATTTTCGTCAGTTCCGAGGAGATCACAGCGCAAACGTACCAAGTCAAGGAAACAAGACAAAGCAGACGAGCATGATAAAGGAAGGAGCACTGAATTACAAGAAAAGGCATGTTCACTTACCTATTCATATAAAGGCAGATGTACAGATGTGGAAGAACTGAAAACGAGTGCCAAAGAGTTGCAAGTGTCGGATCCAGTGCTTAAGGCTTTCGCAGTGCTGCCTGTGCAACAAGCACATCAACAAAAACCCACGATGCCAGACCCAAAAAATTACAAGGCAGCGCGTCGTGGATCCGACAGTGCCAGGTGGACGATTGCTGAACAAGAGGAACTTGCGTCGCTCGAGAGAAACGAAACATGGACTGTGATTAAACGTCTAAAACCTCGAAACCTCTTCTAACTAAGTGGTTTATAAAACCAAGATGAGGGAAGATGGGACTGTAGAATGATACAAGGCGAGGCTGATGGTTCTAGTCGACAAACAAATTTCAGGCGCAAATTAGAATCTCACATTCCCTACGGTGATGCCGGTAGGAAATGCATTTGTCATTTTTACGCTTTCAAGGATGTGGAGGGTGCCGGCTAGGCAAGGAGACGTCCCAAGCGCGTACCCGAAGGCTTTCACGGGTCCAGAGTTCAAGATTCACTTGAGAATTCTCGATGGAATGACAGTGACACAGGACACTCTGGACCGACTTTTCGCAACGGAGCCAGATGAACTAGTATTGCTCCTTGGACGGAGCCTTTATAAATTAAAACAGGCAGAAAGACTTTGGCATCAATTGTCGTGCGACACGCTGCTTAAGATTTATTTCGAACAGTGCATAACAGATCCGTTTCTACAGGTTGACGAGGATAGAATGACTATTGTCGGGTCTACGTGGATGACTTGCTAATTACAGGTACGACGGTGAAACGCATTGGCCTATTTTTTGCTGACAAGAAGGTGCTTGAGCTCAAGGATCTCGGTATTTTATAAAGTTTCTCGGAATGAGAATTGCGTGGACAAAAGAAGGAGGATATTGGATCGACCAGGAGCAAATTATTGAAGAAGTGGTAAGCGAGAAACGTGGTCTGGCTGAAGCAAACCCGGTACGATTACCGATATCTAAATCGCACGTAATTGAAGGAGACAACGAGCTGTTGAAAGAGAAGGCTGTGGGATTGCATCGAGTACCGACTATTAAAGATTTTCAGTCTTTTGTTGGGAGCTTGTTATGGTCATCGAAGTGTAAGCGTCCATACAATTCATTTGCTGTGCACAGGGCGAATAGGCGAAGTCACGCGCCGACACTACAGGATTACAAGCTTGCAAAAAAGATTGCAAGGTACTTATAGAGAACGAAAGGTTTAAAGCTGCATTTTTGTGAAGACAGCGAGCCCCAGTCGCCCATCAGGATTGTCAGTTTCAGTGATGCGGACTTCGCGGCTGATACTGAAGATCGAAAATCTGTATGTGCAGGTGTGCAGGTGGTTTATGGTATCTCTGTAGGGTGGCACTACAAGTAACAAGCTGCTGTGGCTCAGTCAATTGCGGAAGCGAAATTCGCTGCTGCTTCAGTCGGCGGGCGTGAGGCGCTAGGATGGAAGGAGCTTTAAGAAGAGCTTGGGCAGCGAGTGTAGACACCTGTGGTACTTAAGATTGATAGCAATCTGCAGTGAAGCAAATTGAAAACAAATCGAGCTCAGCCAGCAAGAAACAGGTGGATGTGAAGCTCAAGTTTTTACGTGATTACGCCAAGAAGCAGACGGTCAAGCCAGCTTTTGCAGTACGAAGACGATGGTCGCAGACTTACCGACGAAGGTGCTGCCTGCTCCAAGGATTCAAAAAAAATCTCGTTGGACTGAAGTGGTGTTCATCAAGGCGCCAGGAAGAAGCGCTGGAAGATCATGTGCATTAAGTGTACATGAGCCGCCGACGTGAAGAGACGGTGACTGATTTACTGCGAAGGGTCGCAGGAGCAAGACTGATTTACTGCGAAGGGTCGCCGTGTGCATGATCGAGGTCTCTTTCTAACTTCAATAATATATTCTATTCCCCATTCTACTCTGTTTTACACACGCGCAAATCTTGCTGTTTGCCAAAAATGTGAGTTTTTAGACCTTTTGTATAAGCCAGCGATGCTACTATAGCTTAGACTTTCATTTGTAGCCCAAGTTGTCGATCTTTGAGTACAAAAGACAATATCGCGCCTGCAGAAATGAATACTACAAGACCGAAAAGAGTATTGGTCGGTACCAGCCTGAAATGATGGTGGCTGTCGGCAGGTCAGTTCAAGTATTTACTGACTGAAGTATGTAAGAGGCTACAGGGTCTGGGTTGCAGCACATATGGGGTTCTATAGGGTAGGATCGATCCTGAGTTTGCTCGTTCCAAAATCCTTTTACCCAATTTCAAAGTTAGATAAAAGTAGTACACTCTAAACATGTTGTCCGTGCGCCTCACTTCTATTACGTACACGTTCACGTTGCATCATTTTGGTCATGATACGCATAGAATTAGAGCAGTTATGGAATAAAATTGTGGTCTCAGAGTTGGCCATGGTCACTAAATTGGGCGCTGCACGAGACAAACACAGAAGTTTGATAATCCTTGACGCTAGCGGACATTGTGCACATCAGACAAATACTGCATCAATGCTGTCAAAGGCTTGCAGTAAATGCATGCGAAAAGTAGCACAGGCTCCATCGAGAAGTTTAAAATGATTTATCGCTTTATCGCACATTTTGGAACCAACGCAAATGCGATGAGCGGTCGAGCAATACGATATCATCGTGATACAGTTCAACGACAATGTACTTAATAACAGGCAAATTAAAGATCCTACAAGCACAGTGGTATTATGCAACCACGGCTGTGTTTGTGATAGCAGTGCAAATTCTTGGCTTCGAGTGTGAGCTTCGTGGGTCATACCCTGTGCAGCTGGCTCTGTCGTGAGTAAACGTGACCCCTGAAGCATAAACCCTCGGCATCTAATAGTTGGGAGGGTATTGGACTGGATGGCCCCAAAGAATCCATCAAGTAGTGGACAAACGGTCGGGGATGTGTAGGCCCCGCCGAAGAGGTCAGACGTGTTGAAGGTAATCGAGTACGAGATCAAGGCGCAAATCAACTGGCTACAGATTGTCTCAAGGAACTTTCCAGTCACGGTTCAACTGGCTGGATCGATCTGCATCAGATGTATAGTCATGGTGCAAGTACACAAGGACCGGTTAACGTGTATACGATTCAATTGTATGATGAGCGGATACGAAGAGCAAAGGAGCTTCAACAGCTAGGGAGAGCATTGAAAAACCACTCAATACAATTGCTCACTGGTGTATTTGACCACTTCTGCAACAGTATATCGCAAGTTTAACTCTAAAGTATTATCAGGTTATGAATTCAACAACGTTCGACAAGGTTGACAAGCTCGACGGTTCCAACTACCAGTTATGGAGTTTTAAGATGATGATGTACTTACGGTCTCGGGGACTGTGGGGTCAAGTGGATGGGAGCTCGCCGCCAGACCGTGCGCTGATGAAGCAAGCGCATGCGGCAATCGTGCTGAGTCTTACTGACTCGCAGGTACTACACGTGATCACGACGGAGACGGCTATGGACGCATGGAACATGCTGTAGCGCCTTAACGAGTCTAAGGATATGGCTAGTCGCATGTGGTTGAAAGAGAAGTTTTCGTCGTTTCGCTACACAGCGAGCTCGATGGAGAAGCATTTCGAGGAGCTGGAGGCTCTTGTTTTGCAGATGGGCGGCGCGGGGTGCCGTCCGGATGAAGAAGACGTGTGTGCGACGCTGCTACGCAGCCTCCCAGCGTCGTTCGAAGGTTTGGTGCAGGCGTTTCGTATGAGCGTCGGCAAGTTCACGTACGGAGACGTGATGAGTCGAGTGTTGGCGGAGGACATTAGACAGAAGGAGCAAGGCCGCATAGAAGAGGAGACGGCAAAGTTAGCTGGAAGAGGAAGACAAGAATGGAAGAAGAAGCCATTCGACAAGCGTGGGATCCAGTGCTATCAGTGCGGAAAACGCGGTCACTTTAAGCGAGAGTGCACAAACGGAGACACCGAGACACACGAATCAAACGTGTCGTTCCATGTCACGACTACCCATGGGGGCGTATGCCGTGAGTGGGTGGTCGACAGTGGAGCGTCAAACCACATGTGTGCATCGAGGGAGGCATTTGTGGATCATCGTGTTGATCACAGCAACCGCACAGTGTCAGTAGCCAAGTCTGGCGTGACGTTACGAGTGCTTGGTGTCGGAACGGTCGTGCTTGACTTAAATATTCATCCTACGATCCAGTCGGTTGGACAACCGACTGGATTGGTGTGCGCTCGACTCGAAAACACACTGCACGTGGAGAATTTAAGTCGCAATTTGTTTTCAATACCGGCGATCTTGGCTAAGGCGATGCATGTCAGCATGGACATCAACGGGTGTAAGATCTACCGGAACGGCAAGGTCGTTGGAAGCGGCACGAAGAGAGGTAATCTTATCTACCTAAACGTTGCCAATGACGCTGAGTGTCATGTAGCCTCTGAAGTAGGCGACCTATGGCACCGTCGTTTCGGACATGCGTCGCACGAATCGGTTGCAAAGGTCCTTGCGAAAAACAAGATCTGTACTGGAAGTATTAGCAATAAGTTATGCAATGTGTGCGAACTTTCAAAGCAAGCACGAAAACCGTACCCAACGCACGATACTGGTGCGAATGTACAATCGGATATCGTGTGCTCATATGTACTTGAACCAATCATCCCTGCGTCTCGATCCGGATGTGCGTACGCAGTGACGTTCATTATGATGAAGACACGCTTCGTGAAGGTGTATCCGGTAGTGCGAAAGTCAGACGTGCTATCTGAGTTCATCGAATTCCGACAGTACATGAAGACACAAGCGGGAGTGAGTGTGCGCACTATTCGCAGTGATAATGGAGGGGAGTACACCTCAACCGACATGAAGACGTACTGCGCGCTGAAGAATGTCAAACAGGAATTTACGATCCCGCACAATCCTCAGCAAATTGGTATGGCCGAGCGTGCTAATCGGACGCTGGTCGAGATGGCTCGATGCATGCTAAAAGACAGTGATATGGAGAAGACATTCTGGGCGGAGGCTCTGGTGACTGCCGCGTACATTCGCAACACAATCAGCACGGCGACGCGTACTCACACTACGCCATATGAAGAAACGTTTTATCGTCTTTTTGATTACGGCAGTCTTCGCGTGTTTGGCACCGAGTGCTTTGCTCACGTACCAAAGACAAAGAGATCAAAGCTTAACGACAGCGGTGTCCGATGCCGTATGCTTGGGTACCTCGAAAATCAGAAGGGGTATCGGCTACTGAACGCATCAACGGGCCAGATAATGCACTCGCGAAGCGTCACATTCGATGAATCTGCGCGTGAAAAAGTGAAGCCAGAGATTGACGAAGATGTCGAGTCAGATGGACACGAGACCGAACTGACAGATACTAAGTTTCACGGTTCAGTAGATGCGAATTTGAACGACAACGGTGCGCGCGGGATGGCAAGTGAACATCAGCTCGTGCATTGCAATTACCCTCAAACGCATCAGCTTCAAGTAGTTGATCCACGGGGATCAGAATTCTTACCCGGCTCCACCAGTATTCAGCCACACGGTAATGCTGAAGTTCAAATTCAGGGTCATCATCAACTAAATGGATGTACCGACATAGTGCTAACGGATCTGGAAGAGAGCATGTCACCTCGAATGACTGGTCGACAGATGATTACCAGCAATCCGTCTGGTACTCCTGATCGAGACGGCTTAAATCAGCGACGGGTGCGACCTGCGCGGAAGAAGCGTGGTATACTACGCTATGAAGACGAGTTCAATGGAATGCGTCGTATGGATTCCAACGAGGCAGACTTGGAAGACGAGTTTGATGGTCTGCATTGATACTTAACTGCATTGAATGATGAGAAACAGACAACGTACGATGGTATCATGCAGTCTGAATTGAAGGTTCAGTGGAAAGCGGCAATGGATGCTGAGATAAAATCACTGTCGCAGCATAAGACATGGGAGTTGGTCGACCTTCCACCAGGAAAGAAGATAATCGGCAGCAGATGGTTGTTTAAGGTGAAACTGAATGCAGATGGCAGCATAAACAAATTCAAGGCGCGTCTGGTCGCTCAAGGGTTAACACAGCAGTTTGGAGTCGATTTTAATGAAACATTTGCGCCTGTCGTGAAGCAAACAACTGTGCGCACCGTCTTGTCGATTGCAGCTGGTGAAAATCTGGATGCAGAACAGGTTGATGTCGACACAGCTTTTTTGTGTGCACCGATCGAAGATGAGCTGTATATCAAGCAACCAGACGGCTATGAAGATAAGACGCACCCATACAAGGTCTGCCGATTGCTCAAGAGCCTATACGGGACAAAACAAGCAGCACGCCAGTGGAATAAAACTCTGGACGATTTTTTTGGTGCCCATGATTTTGTGCGAGCCAATGCAGACCCGTGCTTGTATACGCGCATCAGCAGTTGAGAGTATTCAGCGGTCGTCGTCTATGTCGACGACATGATTATCGTAAGTAAAACACAAGATGGCGTGCGCAAGATCATCAAAGATCTCAAGACCGCGTTCAGCATCAAGGAGCTCGGAGAGCCACGATTTATCCTTGGTATCGAAGTAACTCGTGACCGGACCAACCGCACCCTTACATTGTCGCAACGCGGGTACATTCAGCAGCTCGGTGAAAGATTTCGAATGAAAAATGCAAAGCCCGTTTATCTACCGGCCGACGCGAATTCGCGCTTAACACGTGCCGCTGAAGGCGCTCAATGCATCACAAATGTACCGTACCGAGAGCTGGTCGGATGCCTTATGTACATCGTTACGTGTACAAGACCCGATATCGCGGATGCAGTCGGCAGTGTGGCCAAGTACTGCGAGAACCACACGAGCGAACACTGGTCAGCGGCAAAGCGTATACTCAAGTACCTGTTAACGACTCAAGATATCGCGTTGGTGTATGATGGTCATTTGGCAACCGCGCTAATAGGCTTTGCAGATGCGAGCTGGGCTTCGGATGAAGACAATAGGCGTTCCACAACTGGTTTTGTGTTTATCCTGAATGGTGCAGCTATCGCGTGGCGTTCGCAGCGACAGCCGACAGTCGCAGGTTCTAGTACAGAAGCAAAGTACATGAGCCTGTACTCTGCCACTCAAGAGATGATATGGCTGAGGCGGTTGCTCAAGGATCTGTGTATGTACAACGATGGACCGACGACAGTATATCAGAACAACCAAGGAGCTATTGCGCTAGCACGGAATCCAGTGTACAACTCGCGAACAAAACACATCGACACGAAGTACCATTTTTCGAGAGAACGTGTCGAGTCGAGCGAGCTACACGTCGAGCACGTATCAACGGCAGATATGGTGGCCGATGCGTTGATAAAGAGTGTACTCCGCCCAAAGCTTGAGAAGTTCAAGTTACAGGTTGGGTTGAAGAAACTTGATCGCGTATCGTTTAAGGGAGAGTGTTGAAGGTAATCGAGTACGAGATCAAGGCGCAAATCAACTGGCTACAGATTGTCTCAAGGAGCTTTCCAGTCACGGTTCAACTGGCTGGATCGATCTGCATCAGATGTATATTTATGGTGCAAGTACACAAGGACCGGTTAACGTGTATACGATTCAATTGTATGATGAGTGGATAAGAAGAGCAAAGGAGCTTTAACAGCTAGGGAGAGCATTGACAAACCACTCAATACAATTGCTCACTGGTGTATTTGACCACTTCTGCAACAGTATATCGCAAGTTTAACTCTAAAGTATTATCTAGACGTCGGTCGTTAGAAATATAAATATACCCACTAAGATTTAAATGAATGTAAATGTTTATTCATATACGTATACGAAACACCAAGATCTTCCACTAGTCAGCCTAGTAGTCTATGGCGGAAGCGGACTAGAGTTAATCGCGTATTAGGAGATGCCCCATCATTAAAATATGTATGTTATTTTGAGAGCCACGTGGACGAGTTGCGGTGACCGCGCATATTTTAATCCTGAGGTCATTATTGTAACGGGGTGAATCGTTACATAACAATTTATAAGAAATTGTTAATAGAATATAACTATAAGAGTTATATTCTCAGAATATTGTCATAAGGACAAATATTCTGTAGCACTTACGAGTAGTTCCTAATTGGTTGATATAGGCCATTATATCAACCAACGAAGACGCGCCACGACAGACGCACGCAATGAGTGGTGAGCAGATAACTGATTTACACATTTGTATTTAGACATAGTTAGGTGAAGATAAATAGTGATTTATTGCAGACATTAACTATTATAAATACAGTTCTACTTTTTACTCTAACCAAGTACTCGCTTCTTCTTACCGTCTTCTTCTGTACGTACGAGTGTACGTGAAGTTACGAGGCACCGCCTTATTCTGTCATCAGAATAAGTAGCTTGTACTGGTGACAGTACAAGCTTCAGGGTGCCCCGTTACACCTGGTAGCACTTCGTAGTCCGTCCAAGGACCGCGTTCACATCCAACATGAATATGTTGGATGATGAAGATGACCAAAGCTTTCACGCTACGCGTGACGGCTACTCCCATTTGAGCGATGTCGAATGGGATGCGGTTGAACGAATGGGTTCGACCATGGGCATCCATGCTGTTAGCGTCATGCTAGAGGCTCTCAATAGAGATGCCCAACATGCTACTATCGCCAAGTTCATTCAAAATGAACTTGACGCAGAACGCGAGAAAGTAGCCTTGCTTCACCAACAAGGTTCTCAACAAGCAGAGTTGTTGAGAGAACAGGGTGCTCAACAGTTTGAACTGTTGAGACAGCAGCAGGCTGCTGCTGGTGGGTCGATGCACTCGCGTCGACCCGAGACTTTGAAGATTGACATCTCCAAGTATAGGGGGGTCGAAGAAGACTCCCTCTTGAGATGGTTCGTCGAATTGGATGACGCCATAAGGGCGCGTCGCATCGACGACGGGGATATGCAAGTTGCATTTGCCCAGTCAAATCTGGCAGGACGTGCCAAGACTTGGGCACTGGGGCTCAAGTTGCACGACCCATATGCGTTTGGGTCGTTGGAAGTCTTCAAGTCGCGGCTCAGACAAACGTTTGAACCGCCTAGAGCTGAGTTCAGGGCTCGAACCGAACTCTTGAAGCTCAAACAGGGTAAGCGTGATGTGCACGCTTACGCGCAACATATACGACATCTCACGAGTTGTATAAGTTCCAATCCGGTGGACGAACACACGTTGGTTTCGGTGTTCATGCAGGGTCTTGCGGATGGTCCCGTCAAGACTCACCTGTTCCGGCTTGAACTAGATTCACAAGAACAAGCCATTTCCATTACGGAGCAGGAAGACTTCAGTCTGAGACAGGCTCGCGCCAGCTCGACATCATATCGTCAACCGAGACGATATGACAGCGGAGGTCCAGAGCCGATGGAGCTCTGTTATGTAGAGAGCGAGAAGGCTCGCTCTACAGGCTACAAGAAGTTGCAGAGATGCAATAGATGTCAAAAGACAGGACACTACGCTTACGAGTGTAGTGCCCCTCGTCCAGTGTCTCGCGACACTGGGCGTAGTGATCGTCCACCCATGAGAAAGGGGCAGGGACGAGGTTCCGCAGTTGGTGCAAAGACGCAACAACGGGATGGACCGTCAAAAAACGGACAGGATCAAAAGGTGCGGAGCACCCTACTGGTCCAGCAGCGTCAAGAGAATTTGTAGGCCTCTTGATGAAGGTTGCTCCCAACACACAAACGTTGTGCGTTGCTGCTCTAGGTAATGAGGTCTCACTCATTACCTTGAAACTCGAAGTGACGAATAAGTTGTCCCTTCGAGCTCTAGTCGATTGTGGGGCGTCCAACAATTTTGTGCGACGCCAATCGCTAGAAGATGGTCACTTTAAATTCAGTGAATGTGACACACCTCCTACGAGGATGACGGTACGTCTTGCGACAGGCGCATCCGTAACAGTCATGAAGCGTATAGTGAAGATTCATTATACGCTAGAAGATACCCAATATGACGATGACTTTATCGTATTGGATTTGGATGACAAATTTGATGTCATCCTTGGAATACCGTGGCTCAGAAGGTATGAACCACGGGTAAACTAGCAACATCGGACAGTAACGATGCCTGCCGCTTGTTCATCAGATGGCCATCTGATGAACGTTTTGGAGCGTCCACAAGCGTGTGGATGTACTACGAGTGAGTGCGATGGCCTCACTTGTGGTATGGTCGTTAGTACGACTGCACAAAACCTTAGTGTACCAAACGGTTACATTTCGGAGCAAAGTTCCGGCGGCTGTGAGGAAACACAGGCTGCGCCGAAGGTCCACCACTCGAATAAGTCGGGTGGACTGGGACAAAGATGTATCCCTACCGGGGAACATCTAGAAGAGAAACAATCGATCGCTCAGGTTAAGCAAAACGATAATCCTAGATCGACTGGAGAGTCTTTCGTAGAGGATCTCGCTGTGGTTGCGCAACCCCAGCTAGAGGAAGTAAAGGGAATAAGTCCCAAGATTACAAATACGGCGGAAATAAGTCCCCGGGAAGCCGAAGGAATAAGTCCTTCGAAGCCTGAGGGAATAAGTCCCCAGGAAATGACAGAGACATTAAATGTCCTAGTCAATGACGGATCAAGTGTAGGCGCTTATACACTTGATCTGATTGCGCCTCCGAAGTTGACTTCGGAGATCACTCAGTTGCTAACGCTCGAACATAAAAGGTTCTTGCGTGATCTACGTAGTGGCAAAGTCAAGCAGATCTGCGTACTCGTCGCTGACGACGAGTGTGTAACCGACATAAGGTCAGCAACAGTGTTCACTGAGAACGAGAGAGTTCTCAGTAGTTCATCTATGGACGAGAGTGTCCTAGATGAAAAGACACGAATTGAGCGATATGACTCCCAATCGTGGGAATCGCTCAAGACAAATCCTCTCTATGAAGATTTGGTTGAATTCAAAAATGTATTCCCTGAAATTGTTCCGTGCGAATTACCGAAGGATAAAGGTATTCGACACGAGGTCGAGCTTAAACCAGGCTCGAAGTACTGTGTCATGAAGCAGTGGCCACTGCCCCGTGAACAAGTACTTGCGATCGACAAGTTCTTTGCCGATCGTTTAGCAGCGGGCCATGTGAGGGAATCAACTTCCCCACATAGCTCTCCGACCTTCTGTGTGCGAAAAGCAACAGGAGGGTGGCGGATAGTGCACGCGTTCAGCAAATTGAACGCTGCAACGGTACCGGCTCAGACGCCGATACCGAGGAAGGACGTAATCATTGATGGTATGTCAAAGAGTACCATCTTTTCGTCCATGGATTTGATGGATGGCTTCTATCAAATCCTTATGCGAGAACGGGATATACCCTATACCGCAGTTAGCACGCCTAGCGGCATGCTCTGGGAATGGCTAGTAATGCCACAAGGGCTTAGTAATGCCCCTGCCACGTTCAACAGATGTGTATCACATCTGTTGAGACCAGTACGAGAATTCGCGCCGAGTTATTTCGATGACGTAATCATCCATAGTCGAGCTATGGATGGAAAGTCGGATGTTGAGGTTCACAGGTACCACGTCCGACAGGATCTTACAATCATGCGAAAGCATCAATTGTATGCAAACCTCAAGAAGTGTATATTTGCAGCAAGCGAAATACCACTTCTTGGGTGCATCGTTGGTAAGAATGGTGTACGTCCTGATCCCGAAAAGATCAAGGCGATCACCGAATGGCCTGTGCCGGTCGATGTCAAAGGTCTTCGAAAATCCCTTGGGCTAGCGGCGTATTTGCATAAGTATTCACGCAATTACGCCGAGATGACTGTGCACCTCTCTCGTTTGTTGAAAAAGAACGAGAGGTGGTTATGGAACGCTGAATGTCAGCGCTCCTTTGAGGGTATCAAGCAGAGCTTGATACAATCCCCAGTCCTAGCAATAGCCGATCAGGACAGGCCATTTCATGTAGTCTGTGATGCCAGCGATTTTGCAATCGGCTGTGCATTAATGCAGTACGACCTAGAAGGCGTTGAACGCGTCGTCTGCTATCAGTCGCGTCAGCTGCAACCAGCTGAGCGAAACTATCCAGTGCATAACAAGGAACTCCTTGCCATGAAGTATACACTCGCGAAGTTCAGAGTCTATCTATTAGGAGATAGACCCTTCATTGTTTACACTGACCATGCGTCGTTACGCACGGCAGTGAACAGCCCGCACCTTTCACAACGAATGGCGCGGTGGTTGTCATTCTTTGCAGAATACAACTTTACGGTCGAGTACAAACCAGGACGACTTAATGTCGTCGCTGATGCACTCTCACGTCGTCCCGACTTTGAAACAGTCGCAAAACCCAGCAGTGAGACAGTCACTGTTGCGGTTATGACGTCCTCAGTCCCATCTACCACGTTGTATGATGATGTGAGGCGGGCATACGCCCAAGATGGTGAGATAGTGAAGTTGTTGACACATCTCTCCCAACCATCTCGAGAATCGTTGAAACGATTGTCGTCTGCGTATCGATCTGCATCAGATCGATACACTACTCGTAACGGTTTACTGTATTATACAGCCGTTTCTGGTGACACACCACGTGTTGTCATTCCAGATGATACTGATCTGCGTTTGCGGATCGTGTTCGAGTATCACGATGCAATTATAGGAGGAAATCGTGGCCGAGAGAAAACATATCTCACGGTAAGTCGAGACTTTTACTGGCCCCGCCAGTATCAGTTTGTGCGAAAGTATGTTCGCGCATGCGAAGTCTGCCAACGAGTGAAGTCAAGTCCTTCAATGCGTGCACCTTTGCAGCCTCTACCGGTTCCGGCTGAGTGCTGGGAATCCATCTCAATGGATTTCGTCTTCGGGTTACCCAAAGACGCACGCGGGAATACGGGTATTCTCGTATTTGTTGACAGATTCAGCAAAATGGTACACCTTGTGGCTGTACCAGAGACAATCACGGCAAGTGGCTGTGCTTGTGTCTTTATTGACACCATCTTCCGACTTCATGGATTGCTCCGTGAACTCGTATCAGACAGAGATCCACGATTCACTGCTGATTTCTGGCGTTCCGTGTTCAAATCACTCGGAACACGCTTATAGATGTCAACATCTGATCATCCAGAGTCAGATGGTCAGACGGAACGTGCCAATCGTGTCCTTGAAGAGATACTTCGAGGATACGTACACTCCTTTAAGAGTTGGAGTGAGTTTTTGCCAATGGTAGAGTTTGCCATCAACAACTCGGTGCATGCGTCCACGACACATACACCGTTTTACGTGAATGGCTTGCGCCATCCGCGTGTACCCACCTTACTAGAAAGTAACTCTGGTTTAAGGGGGGGAGGGACTCGCGCGAGCAAAAACCGATTTGGTTCACGCTCATCACGCTCTGACGAAGAGGTCATTGCGTTTGATGCCGATATCGATAACATCGATTTCGAAGAAGTTGATGCCAGTGAGAGTGCGGAAGCCCTCACTGAGGAAGATGATCCCAGTGAGAGTGAGGAAGCCCTCACTGAAGAAAATGTTGATGTTGCTGCAGTGCGCTCACAGCGCACTGAAGCTAACGAGTCATCAGACGAGTTCATACTGGCTCGTGAAACGGTAGTCCGTTTTGTGCAAGACTCCATCGCCGAAGCGGTGGATAAGCAAAAGCAAAATGCTGACAAGAATGGAAGGGCAAACACTCTTTTATTTAACAAAGGTGACTTAGTCCTACTGTCTACGGTTAATCTACCAAAGCATGTAGTGACTAACTTGGGTAGCAGTAAACTACTACCCAAGTACATCGGCCCATTTCGTGTATTGCACCGCCTAGGCAATGCATACACGATCGAGTTACCACGTAAGATGCGAACGCATCCCACGTTTTACGTTGGTCGGCTTAAGCCGTACCATCAGTACGCTGCTTCTTCCGATGAAGAACGCCCTTGCGCTCAAGCATCTTGCAGAGAGCCTTGTGCTCCCGATGGTGGGCATCAACAAGGGTCTGAAGAGCAGCTATCTCATCCCGAGACCGATCAACAATCCCACGAGCTACCCTTAGCTCGTCACGAAGAGCTGTCAGAGATCTCTCGTTCTCAAGCTGAGCAAAGGCAAACTCAGCTCGATGCTTCGAGGCAGTGTCCGCCATTTGGAGACGCCTATTCCGCTCATGTTCGAGATCGCCGCGTAACCCTTGCGTTACGCGATCAAAGAAGCTCTCGGGAACACACCGATCCACATGATCGTGTGGAGAGCGTCTTTCCTCCTCCTCCACCTCCATTAGAGGACTCTCGCGGTGGCCAGCGCTATCTAGTTGAGCGGCTGTTGAACCACCGCGACGTGAACGGACGTCGGACGAGTTATCTCGTCCGGTGGCGCGGCTATCCCCCGTCCTGGGATTCTTGGGAGCCCCGCTCCCAACTGATGATCGACGTACTGGGTCTGGTTGAGCAGTACGACGCGGCACATCCTGTGCCGCAGAAGGACCGCCGGAGAAAGTCTTCCCGGCACGGTCGTAGAGGGATTTCAGGTTGTCAATCCCTTCGTACATCTCAGTAGAGACACGTACGCGCCACCACGGGCTGGTAAGGAGGTAAGCCTCCTTAGGTGCTCGTGCAGAGTTGTTCACACAACATGGGCACGAGTCTCCCCAAGAGAGGCAGGGTAATCCTTTCTCCCTTGAAAGACGATGCAGCTTGTAGCGTGCACCTGTCGGGGTTCGCTTTTCAAACTTATCACGAGCTTTGATAAGTTTGTCGTTCCAAGCGTCACGACCTACATCCTCAAGGTTATGGATGTAGGCGTTCCACGCCTGAAGTAGTGAGGGACCATCACGTTTGTGATTCCCACTGTACCATCGATGTCTAAAGAAAGTATCGATGAAGAATTCATGTTCAGCGCGATAGTTTTTCGCGCTGGGGTCAAGGTGATGGATCCTTGACGAATCGAACAATCGTGTTCGATAACGATCACTCGTCGTCGCCGAGAAGTGATCCATGACGGATTTAGGAGGCATCCATGCCTTCTTTTCTGGAGCGAGACGCAACACATTGCGGTCCCGCTCTTCCTGCGACGTGCCGACAGAAGTACTGGCACCTCGCTGTGAAGTGGTGTCCATAGGAGAACCGACACCACTATTAGCGCCCGAGTCTCGCGACCTCGAGCGCCTTCGCTTCGGCGATGGTTCATCTGATGAATCAGATGAACCAAAGATGCTGCGACGCAAAGCATCGTCCATGCCACGCTTGGCAGGCGGCTTAGATTCAATCGCCGTCGATACGGATCCGTCATCCGTATCAGGAGAGTACGAGACACCGAGCTCGTACTCTGTGAAGACACGAGTGTCTTCATGACCAGCGCCTGCATCACCAAGTGACACAGGCTGGGTCGCTTCAGCAACCGATGAGACATCAGTTGCTGTAGTTTCTGCTTCGGCGTCCGCACAGAGACGTGCGGACGCGCTCTCGGCGGCCTTGCTCGCGCATCGCATGGGCTTGTTAACCATGCGATGAGATGTTGGAAAGTGGACGCGGACCAACAAGTGCAAACCCTGTCCCAAATGATTTGGGACGAGCATCCATTTAGTCAATCAGTCACTAAAGTGACTGATGGTTAAGGGGGGGTGATGTAACGGGGTGAAACGTTACATAACAATTTATAAGAAATTGTTAATAGAATATAACTGTAAGAGTTATATTCTCAGAATATTGTCATAAGGACAAATATTCTGTAGCACTTACGAGTAGTTCCTAATTGGTTGATATAGGCCATTATATCAACCAACGAAGACGCGCCACGACAGACGCACGCAATGAGTGGTGAGCAGATAACTGATTTACACATTTGTATTTAGACATAGTTAGATGAAGATAAATAGTGATTTATTGCAGACATTAACTATACTAAATACAGTTCTACTTTTTACTTTAACCAAGTACTCGCTTCTTCTTACCGTCTTCCTCTGCACGTACGAGTGTACGTGAAGTTACGAGGCACCGCCTTATTCTGTCATCAGAATAAGTAGCTTGTACTGTCACCAGTACAAGCTTCAGGGTGCCCCGTTACAATTATCGTCTCGGCTACTAGTCATTATCGTCTAGGGTTTAGGGTTAAAAAGTCATTATCGTCTACACTAGTAGTCTAGTCGAACGACATCGTATTCAGAGCTCCAATCCACATCAAGAACTGATCGAGTAACGAGCCACATATGGCCGCACAGTTTATACCGTTGCGGAATTTTTGGGTTTTGCATCGCAGTGCCGCTTCCAGCGGCTACTCACTCGGCCGTTGTTACCTCGATTACATGTAGACATGAGCAGCATCGGACTACTCTCTTGTGGAAACAAGTATAGGTAGCGTAACATTAGAAATAGAATACTTAAACAGAGATCGAGAAAGTCACCGTTTGCGAGCAGGCACAGCATACAGGAGCGACTGTTAGGCAGACACATTCATCAGCCCGATGCGTAAAAATATGAAATGTCAAATGTGGTTTGTACGCTATGTCATTGAAAATGCAAATTCCTTGCCTCTATCGTAACTTCTACATATTTATGTCCATCTCTATTAAGCTGTGCTACCATTTCCAATCGAAGCCATGACCAATGAGCTGACTTACTTTTGCATATAGGAGCTCTTAAGTATCACCAACTACATCAACAGCTACATCAACCAGAAAGCTCGACTAAACCAGCCGAACGTGTTGGTCCCCGCCACGCCTTGTAGGAGTTGTTGTTTCTGCGCAGCTGTCGTGGTAAGAGAAGACGTAGACCTTCGAACTTCGAGTCACAAGTTGCTCCTTTCTTTTCGTAACGCATCAGTTCTTTGTCGAACAGCAGTTGCACGAGTTCATCGGCAAACGATAGAGCAGATATCGAGTGCTGCTCGCCACATCTGCGGTGCATACAAATGAGATTCTGAGAGCTTGTATACCTGTTAAATCGGATAAAACACACAAGCCGCATCAACATTCTTGTACTAAAATGGAACTCTGTACAAACGATTTCACTAGAAGCCGACAAGCGATGAAAGCACGATAAACGTCTCGGATTCACTCACCCGCTGGTACAGTCGAGCAAGTTTCAGTGACAGCAAATGAATACGACAAGAAAGGTGCGCTCAGCGCACGTTCTGTAGCTTTCTCGACGTGGATGTCCAATTGATCAAGAGTCCGTCTGGCTCTTCATTTTAGGAACCTCTGTCGTAAGGAAGTTGTCGTCACTCTCAAATTTTAAATTCGTACACGTCTTTCTTTGCTGCACGCCGTAGCATCATTTGGGTGGTTCGTGGTCGCTGTCGCGGAAGACATTCTTCAGCCATAGTATCACTAAAGCACAATTGTTGCAGATTGAGTTGTGAAACATTGTCTTCGGACAAAATGTTAATTTCAGTTCCTTCCTTTTTATTGCGAGCCCGAAGGGCGAAGCTATTAGTGAATGTGCGCAAGGTTGAATGCCAACTGCGAAATCGTACATAGCTGTGTGTGTCAATAACGCGGTTAGGTGTACCTGACACGTACTAAGTGCGATCTATCCTGCCTTCCTCATTGATTTACAGGCACATTCAAAGTCACTCTTCGGCCAGGTTCCTATTGTGACGCACGCACATGATTGGCTTCAAATCGATCGAAGGTGAGTATGATCACATAAGCAAACACTGGACGCTCATGAGCAAAGGCTGTCGCGTTGCATGAGTGATTATTCTGGCTTAATTTAGACATTAATAGCATCATGCTCCTTCTTCAGTGACTGCTGCTGTTCTATAGTTTTTGCAATTTGATTCAGTTCTACGAATTAGATTACTTTTATCAAAGGGCGAGCCACAGAGCTTGTTCCTCCTACCTTACCAAACTATGGGTACTTTTAGATGCCAGTTGGCAGTCTGATTAAGAAGAATCAGTGACAGTGAACGCCGTCAAGAGTGACTCGCCACACTATCGAAGTTCCGATGGTAACCAGAATTCAGTCTCTTTTTCCCAACTTGGGACGTCGGTAATCTATACCAACATATACGTAGACTACAATAGCGACGGGTGCTCTTCCGTCACGGGTCGCACGTGCTCCTTCCCAGCGAGTCGTGATCCATCTCGGCCGCAGCTTTCGACACGCCGTAGTGAGTGGCACTCCGTTGCTCGTAGAGATGTCTCTCCTGCAGAGCACCTTTAGCATTGGGGATAACACTCCAATTTGTGCACGAAAAGAGACGGCGTGCGCACATTCCGAGTCCTTGCAATGCCCTATCGACGACCAGCAGCAGCAGTTACAAGCTGTTGTTGACTTGGCAAGTACCAATGAAGCTGTTGCGATGCTGGGTGGGACGCTAGCCGCAGCTCTGCTCGTGTATGCGATGCTCCCGTACGTGAGAGCAAGAGCCAGCTCGAGTCGACGCGGTCGATCGAAAGCGCAGTCTCCGATGAGTACGGGCAGACGGAATAGGTGCAGTGACCAAAGTGGGATGTTCAGAACATCGACCGCACCAAACGGAGCTGGCCGACGGGTACGGCAGACTCTTTTTTGGGGATGACGTTGGTGAGGTTGAGTCTGCTGGAGGTGTACGCGACGGACGACGAAGCAAAGGAGAGAGTAGACGACGGGACGTCGCTGGGTCCGCTGCAGGATCGGAGCCCTTGCTGGCGAGTTTGCCCGAGTTCGATGGTACTTCTACTCTAGACGTGTGGGTTGCGATTTGTAGAAGGTACGACATTATTAACCTTTTTGTGCATTTTGTAGACGAGCAGGGATGGCGCGATTTCTTTGACGCGCAGATTTACAAGAACGGACGTAAGAAAGGGCGATGCACAGCAGCAACAATCGTGTCGGCGCAGATCGCGAGTCAAGAAACGCATCGACCGAAAGACACGGTTGTTGCTTCATGTATTGAACCATGTCCGAGTAAGGTTGTGAATGCTGCAGTAACTGGAGCAAAAGGCGAGCGATACAGGACAGTTCGGGAAAGGATTAGGCGTGCTGCAACGAAAGCTGCCATTGATGATGCCCAGATGTTCAACGAGTTTTGGCAGATGTGAGTCATGTACGTAAACAAATTGTAAAGCGACGATACGAAGGAAGTATCAGTTTCGGAGACAGACTCACATGCTATGTCGAGCTGTTATCGAAAAGATCCGTTCAAATGTGGCCCGCTGTTTTCAATATGGTTGTTTCTTGCAGGGTCATCCACATATGAGTAGGAGAGCATGGGAGTGCATCTTCATTTAGACATCTTATCACCACTAGCAAGATCACTAGGGCTGGTAATACCAAAACGACTCTTCGGCAAGACCTTATCGTTCGAGGAATGCATACAACACAGCTTATGCCACGAGTAGATGGCAAAACGCTTTGTAGTATGCATCATCCACCTGTAAGCGGAGAGGTATTGATGCATGCACCATTAGCATACATCTGCTTGGGCATTGACGAAATGACCTTTGCCAATATAGATGAAGTAAGCTTAGCTAGTCTCATAATACGTGAGCAACGTACGGAAAACATCACAAGCGTAAAACCCGAACTGCAAACAGTCATAGACGCCTGCAAAAAGTCAATTATCGAGCATCGCAATGTAATGCCCTACATCAGCCACGGTGCGTTCTCGAACGCCATGCATTTTACAGTCTTTTTTGCATGAAGCGATGTTGTCGATCATGTCACCGTGACAACACCATTGTGTCAAGTGCGGCTGGTGTTTTGCCATAGTTACGACATAAACATTGTGTCAGTATTGCGACACCCACAAGTTCCTGCAACTTGACATGCAACAACATCAAAGGAAACGCATACGAGCTCGTGGTGTACTTGTGATTCCGTACAAAAGACGCTCGTCCCATCGCTTGTACGCGTCACTTGTACCTAATTACAACTCTGTGGTGAATGTTAAACACTTCTCAGGTACAGAATGACTTGGCAACGACTTTTATTCCATACTGTCCACTTGTCTGGCATGTTAATCTTCCGCACGCTCCCTTACATCGAGCTGAAAAAGTAAAGCCAAACACGATCCAGACACCAAATAATCGCCCACTTAAGTGAAGTAACATCTCGGCGAAACATCAGTAACCTCGCCTCGGATAAAATTCTATCCTTTAACTTCAGATGTAGCGATGTGTCACACACACCAACGTGACTTAACGTCCGCAATTTGGGCACCGCACACAATTCGCCTCGCTTTGCGTCCACCACCCAATTTCCATCATGAAAACCAGCGACAAGAGCGAGCAGCTCCAGCAGCGTCAGCTGTGGCTTCCCACCATCGAGACGGCTCTGTCGCTGCTTCTGTTCCCCCGTGCTGTCTCTGCACTCGTGAATCCCATTGCAGACTGCAACGAGACGTTCAACTATTGGGAACCGCTGCACTATCTGCTCTACCGCTTCGGGTTCCAGACATGGGAGTACTCGCCTGATTATGCTCTGCGCTCGTATCTGTATCTACTGCTGCACTACGTGATGGTGAAACTCCTGTCCTTTGGCATCACGCTACGACTCTTTACACGTCATAAGCTGCTGCTGTTCTATGGTCTACGCGCAGCCTTAGGGTTGGTATCGGCTTATGCGGAGGCGCGGTTCTACTACTCTACCAGCAAGTGCTTTGGTCGACGAACGGCTCGCTATTTACTGTGCATCTTGCTATTCAATGCAGGGATGTTTCATGCAAGCACAGCATTGTTGCCCAGCTCCTTTACAATGGTTCTGATCATGCTCTTTACAAGTGCATGGATGGACAAAGGCTACGATTTAGCAATATTTTATGGTGTTGTAGCTGTACTTTGCGGCTGGCCGTACGTCGGTGTTCTCTTTATCCCATTTGCGGTCGAGACAATCTACGTTCGTGGATGTACCAGGAGCATCTTGGTGGGCGCAGCTATTGGAGGTCCAATTTTGGCTCTGGAGCTGCTTGTCAACTACCACTACTATCGCCGCTGGGTTCTCCCGGCGTGGAACATTCTTGTGTACAATGTGCTGAGCAACGAGACGGACTCGACGCTCTATGGAACGGAGCCCCTGAGCTACTACGTGATGAACTTGGCACTCAATTTCAACGTAGTCGCTTTATTGGCAGTGCCGGCGGCGTTGTTCGTGCTCATGCTGCCAGTGCATATTGGAGCTGGAAACGTGCAGTTGTTGGCTTATTTGTCGCCGATGTATGTTTGGGTGGTGATTATGTTCGGCCAAGCACACAAGGAAGAGCGATTTTTGTCTCCTGTTTATCCGCTGATTTGTTTGGCAGCTGCAATCACATTGAGTGCAGTCGTGTACCGCATTGGGCAATTTCTTGGTCACGCTGATTCTGTGGGTCGTAAACTATCGCACCTGTTTGTAATAGGCACGCTGGGCATTTATTCGTCACTGTCTGTTTCTCGAGTGGCAAGCAACGTTTTAAATTTCAGCGCTCCGCTTCGTGTGTACCAGCATCTCTATGGCCAGGTATTACCAAATTCTGAACTCAGCATGCTCGATGCAGGCTCAAACGCAACAAAATCCGTGGTGAACTTGTGCATCATGAAGGAATGGTACCGATTTCCGACAAGCTTTTTCGTCCCATCCAACAGCACCAAAGTGCAATTTGTCAATTCGTCATTTGGAGGGCTTCTACCGAAGCCTTTTGAGGAGCACGTAAACGGCACTTCGATTATCCCCAGCGCTATGAACGACCGAAATCGGGAGGAGTCTAGTCGATACGTGTCCATCGAAGTTTGCGATTACGTGGTGGACCTGAACCTGCCCAGTCAGAAAGAAATTAAACTTTGGGAGGAGCCTGCAACTTGGGAGCTCGTGCACTCGGAGCCGTTCTTGGATGTAGAGCGATCCAAGTCGCCCTACCGGTCGTTCTACATCCCTGTGCTGACACCACGGCATGTTTATTACGCGGACTATACAGTGTACAAGCGCAAAGACATTGCACAAATTGAGAAACTAGGTTGATTGCGATGAGCTTTTGTGCTTCGGGTTTACAGGGTCTTGTCGAGAAGTGTGATAGATCCTGTCTTTGCGTCATTCATATTACAGAAAGTGGTGAAGCGTATCCACTTCTGTTGAAGCTTGAAACGGATGTAAAAGCGCATGTTGAATTTGGGTGTGTGGCAGCACCACTCAGGTGTCGTTTGGGAGCCTTGGAATATCTTTGGGATGGGGCCTCGTTACTTGACAATACAGCTCAGTGCAGAGGTCACAGTGAGACGCATCACGCGGTCGCAACTCGCTTCATCGTTTCGCATAACATTTAGGCGGCACGTTTTACAACTGACAATTGCAATGCGGTCCAGATTGTCCAGCGTTTGTTCGTAGTAAGTCTTTTGCCTGGAAGTGTGAGGCCGGCGTCATCTAAGCTCTTCAAAACAAGTCTGTCCCCCGATAATCATGTCTTTCTTTCGTCAGTGCTCTCTATTCTATTGCAGTTGTGTCGTTATATTCCAACGCCACCCCTTCTCTTTGCCGACATGTCGAAGCGACAGCTCCACATGTTGTACGAGAATTACACCTCAAGTTATTCTTGTTAAATCGTCACTAGCAAAAGCTACCAAACCGACGAAGCTAGAATGGAATACGACGTGCAGTCGTTAGCTCCACTCAAATTACTCCGGAGAAATATAGTGCGTGCCCACTGACACGGGGCTACGCAGTGCCGCCAACGCGATCTCCTTGGCGGTACGGACCGCATTGCGCAGACCCGCAGTCTCACGGGTGATGCGGCATTCTTGGTGCAGCTTTTCCGCCTTGACCTCAAGAAGTGCGAGCTTATTGACGGCGCTTTCCATACCTGCTTTCGTGCGAACGGGACCCACCGACTCCCACATGATGCGCTGCGTGGCCAACATCACTTCCTCGACTTCGCTAGGATACGCGTCACGAAAGCCATTCAAGCTGACCGACACGTCCTCTGCCTTCTTGTGGCTTTTCGAGTCCGACGCCTTATTGCGCTTGAGGAAATCGTCAGCAGCGCTGCAGCCCCACACCAGCCCCTCCAGCAACGAAGTCGAAGCCAAGCGGTTCGCACCATGGAGACCGGTGCAGCTCACCTCCCCGGCAGCATACAGACCAACAACAGACGTGCGGCCATGCAGGTCAACCTCAACACCACCACAGTGATAATGAGCGGCCGGGACGACGGGCATCGGTTCTTTCGTCATGTCGATCCCTCGATCGAGACAGTGCTGATAAATCGTCGGGAACCGGTTCTTGATCCAGTCTGCCTTCTCATGCGAAATGTCCAGGTACATGCAAACGTCCTTCTGCTTTGCCATCTCAGCCAATATAAGGCGGGCCACCACATCGCGAGGAGCCAACTCTCCATCAGGATGATAGTCCTTCGCAAATGCACGGCCACTCTTGTTGCGCAAGATCGCACCTTCCCCCCGCAGCGCTTCCGTCAATAAGAAGCGACGCTCGTCCGGCATATACAGCGTCGTCGGGTGGAACTGCACGTACTGCATGTTCTTGAGCTTCGCACCAGCTCGAGCAGCCAGTGCAATCCCTTCACCTCGGGCCCCTTCCGGGTTGGACGTGTTCTCATACACGTCGCCCACGCCGCCAGTCGCCAGCAACGTAAACGGCGCGCGGAAGAGCTCCACGTCGCCACTTGTCGACACAGTCAGTGCACCGACACACTCGCCTTGGGCATTTGTCACGAGCTCAAAGGCGCTGCGGCCTGTAAGCAGCGTAATCTCAGAATGAGCTCGCACAGCTTGGACCATGCTCGTAGAAATGGCTTGACCCGTGTGGTCGGCCTTGTAAAGGATCCGCGCGCGATTGTGCGACGCCTCGAGCGTCAGCGCGAGCTCGCCGTCGTCCTGGCGGGTGAACGGCACTTTGGCCACGTCCAAGAGCATCTCTTCAACGCGAGACGGACCTTCTCGCGCGAGTTTCTGGACCGCCACATCGTCGCACACGCCCGCGCCCGCGCGATGGACGTCTGAAGACAGCAACGCTGGCGTGTCGTCTTGGCTCTTGTAGATGATCCCGCCTTGGGCGTAGTACGTGGCGCAGTGGTTCGGGTCCAAAGCAGCAGCGACCATCGTCACCTTGACGCCCTGGTTGGCGAGACGGAGCGCTGTGGCGTTTCCCGCTACGCCGCAGCCAAGGACGAGCGCCGTGCACTCGGTCGTGGCATATGGAGCAGGAGCTGACGAAGGGGCTCGATAGAGGACCGAGTGGGTTGAGTGAGGCGGCGAGGGGCGACAAGCAAGCGACGAGTCGGAAGACGGGGCAAAAGAGTCAGAAAGACGACGATACAACGACGACGGGAGCACCGAGGCTCGAGCGAGGAGCTCCAGTTGGGTCAT